GTTGTCGGTTTTGCCAAACCGCTGCACTTCCACACTTCCCTGGGTTCTCCACTCATTATGCACTCTTGTAATTGGCAACAGAACACCACTGGTGTGATGTCAGAGTGGGAGAAACAGCTGGCTGTTACCACTTCAACTTTAGAACAAACTACCAGCTGTTACCACTTCAACTTTAGAACAAACTACCAGAGTCCCAAAAAGAAAAACTCTTGGTGTTTAGCGCTATCTTGTGTCCTCCAGCATCATGAATTTTGGGCTCTGGCAGAAGCATCTTGGGGAATATATCCGAGGGGAGGGGTGAGTGTTCTGTGACAGGGTTAGCGTTCAAAACCTAGCTTGTTTGCAGATTCACTCTTAAGAGCTTTACAGAGCAAGTCACCCCCTACCAGAGTCTTATACTCCAATTTCCTTTTTGAAAAATGCAACAAATGCTGTTGCCTGGCAGACCGAGAGGGTGGAGTCGCTAACAGTTACACACACAGGCTCACGGCATTATGACATCATAATGTACCAGCTAACGCCATAGTGTACCTCTTAGCCAATAACGATGGCAGATTTAAATTGAAATGCAGTGGAGAGTTTTTACCTGAAGAGGGCGCAACACTGACAGTTTTAGGCAGAATATGTCATTTTTAACTGAGAAGCACTAAACTGCCAAATTATTGACTACATGTGTATGCAGCACAAGTTTATCAGCAAAAAAAGTTGATTTGGGGGTGACTTGCTCTTTAAGCTTTATGAATATAAAGTTGAAGATTAAACAAATTCTCATAAATCATGATCCTGTCTTGATAGAAGTTTATCTTTTTTTTTTTACCTTTAACCTAATAAGAAGATCCATCTGATGGTGTGGAGGATCTTTTGGATGTTGGAGAGAAGTGCCACCGCTACGTTCTCTACACTCCATGGTGATAAATGGGTGGAATAAGTTGGGTCATGTCTGAAACTAAAAGTCTTACTATGATTTCATTCCATAAAAAGAAAAGACCTGGTTTCATTGAAATTTATGAGAAAGAACAAGAGTGCATGTTTTCTTTTAAATACTAATGAACCAACAGGTCAAGCAGTGATGCAGAATTTGTACTTCATCTGTTGAACTCTTCTCGTGCTCCCAGACTCAACACACACACACACACACACACGCACGCACGCACGCACACACACACACACACACACACACACACACACTCCCACGGTAGCTTAATTACACTGCTCCTGTAGCCCATCACCAGTCCTTGTAACTCAGCACCCTGCCTCACACACACAGAGTCCTTTTGCGCTTGTTTTTAATTCTGACACACACATTCACACACAGGGAGGTCAACTTGAGGTTGTAATTCCATGACATCACTATTGCCATGAGTCATACATGAACCCCCAGGCATAGTGAGGCCGCCTCCCCCTCAGAACCTGTCACAGGGGCTTAGACACATAATGTGCTCACACATCACTTTTTCAACACTTGCACTAGGTGTACAACACTCATAGGCTATGGGGGCAAAATAAAACGCCATAGAACGAATAACTTTAAAGTTCTTGTCTGTCTAACATTATCGGTCCAACTCTTTGTAGAGGAGGAATTTAGGACATTATGCACAACAAATGGTCCCACTGCATGAATTCACTCAGCATACGGTCTTAAATTTGCGGAGATGTGCAACACCGAGGTTTGGATGCAAAAGTTAAAAGACTTTAATTGTCTGAAAGGTGCTGGTACCTATTCCACCACCACTCCACCACCATGCTTGACAATTGGTTGCATGCAAAGATGTACTTTTAATTACATCCCAATGTGCTCACCATGGTTTCATCTGTTTTAAGGCCCTATAGGCTTTTGCTACTACACTTGTTTGTCCCCCAATTAGGGGACGATCGGGCTCAAAGGGTTAAGGACATAGATTCATGTTAAGTTTCGTTAGGCCAGGTTGGATTGGGATAATTTTCAAAAGTTTTTATTTAGGTTGTCTATTTTGGTACTGGTGGTTAAAAATTAGTATCTAAATGTATCTAAAAAGCGTTTACTCCAGTTATTGTTTCTACACACCTGTTGGGTGCAAACCAACAAAACACCAAATTCATTCTATTAAAGAGGCAGTATAATAAATAATATGTTAGTTATGCTATGTTGGTTAAAATTGAAAGAGTTTGTAACTATTACTTCATGTATTTGACAGTCTTCTCCTTGTCAACAGGACTTTGTTTCCTACTTGACTCACATTCACCCTGTGTGATTTAGAGTGGCCAGATGTAGAACGCAGGTGTCCTCTGGCTGGAGAAACCACACACATTACCCACACAAATGAGCTCACACCAGCACTAATGTTAAACCTGGGCATCCAATAAGTCACAGGTAGTTGTGTCACTGGGCCGTGCATGGATGTTGGTTAGACTGTGGTTTGTTGTATTGTCTCATTCCTGGAGCTGCGTTGCTCCAAAACAACTCCTCTACCCAAAATAGGCAACCTTTCTGGCGTTTTGAATTAGAAATATGTTCTTATATTTTAATATTCCTGTGTGGAAATGTTTTTAAAATGCTCCTCATTCCTTTAAACTTTGCTTCCAAGGAGCCTAGCTTTCAGGTAATCACTTAAACTGATACAGGTGGTTTTTCTTTGGGCGTTAGCTTCCTGTCACTCATTTTTTATCCACTTCTTGTGCTTGAACACAACAGCATATTGTGCAGTTTGCCTTAAAATTTAAAAGTGGACACATCAAAATCATTTGCAGTAGAAATTTTGGTCATGCCTTGTAGTATACAGCTATTCCCTGTTGGTACTGAGATACAATTGGAGCTGTGATACCTTCTTGGTATTAACGTTTTACTTTCTTTAACATAGAAAGTACAACTACAATTTAATTTGTTTATTTCTTTGTGTGCATCTGCTCCGTCTTCTCAAATGCCCAGTTGGTCATGGCAGATGGCGGCTTATACTGATCCAGGTTCTGTTGGAGGTTTCTTCCTGTCAAAGGGCGGCTTTCCTCTCCAATGTGGCTAAATGCTTGCTTAGCATGGGACTTGCTGTAAAGTCACGGACACAACAAGTCAGTGACTCGATGCAATCTGCTGGGTTTCCTAAGATATGAAACTTTAGTTTAATCGAAATAATGAACAGTGTTTAATACACTGATCAGTAGGTTCAATTGGATTGTTTGCTGTGTTAAGTGCCTTGAGACAACTCTTGTTGTGAATAGGGTGACGTCATCGTACAAGTGCTGCTGGGCGTTAGTACTAAACAAACAAACCAAATTTGCCAATTGAAAGAACACGTACGGAGTGCTCGGACGTCGATAAAAACAAATGGACAGCAACAAAAGTCAAACGTTTGTGCTCAAAAAGTTACTCATTACTCTAAGTGCTGAAGTAACATCTTCTCTAAGTAATTTTTTGTTTTAGTCTTAGGTTATTATTTGTGTCATCACTTATTATTACGTACTACCCACCTCTAGTCCACATTTGGATGCTGTTTGGCCGAGACTTGCAGCCTGACCTCTTTGTTTACGCCGCTGTTTCATGGATAACTCCACATCTTAAAGTGTTGCTAATGTTTCCACGTCATTCTAGGATGTAGGATTTTTCCCACCAGCAAACGGAATGGAACAAATATATGCGCAACCCTTGATCTGCGCCACACTTTGGAAATCTGCTCTTCTACATAAATACTATAAATACACTTAGCTTTTTCTGTCTTTAGCTTGAGGCGTTTTCCTTTGCAGCCGTTTAATTTTGTCACGGACCTTACCCGGCTTTGTAAAATGACTAAAAAATGTCCCCTCCACTAACCAATCTGGGTATCTAGAGTCCGACTAGGACCTCCCCAAATCAGTGCTCACTTCCTTCCCATTTGAACATATTTAGGAGGGGAAACTACAACCTTGAGACGAGCAGAGCAACAGAGACCTATAGGCACCCATGCAAAATACACGCTTGTTTGTATAGGGCTGCATCCCACAATGCATTTCATGGTTACGTCACAATCTAATTTTCGCTCATGGTGTTGTATAAATGAACTGAATTGAACTAACTAAAGAATTGGGAAGAAATTCTCTTGAACAATGTGCCTAAAGGTCCCATTCAAACAGTTTTTTTTGATAACTTGTCTGTTTTGTATTGATGCTTTGTGTTACGTAAGGTTGAGGTCGATTAGCAAACATTAAACAGCCATTTACTGAACTGAAAATGAGTGAAATTCCTGTTATTCCTCTTATCAGGTTTATGTAACTTTATACTAAAGTAATTCAAAAGCATCATATAGTAAAATCTTCTACACATGACTAGCGGTTTGGAGAAACCACAACAACGATCCCACTGACGTCAAATGTTTCTTTAAAATAAAGATTTACAGATTTGGGGACAGCTGATTGAAAATGATACATCGGAGTGATTAGGATAATGATTTCCAGACCCAAAAGCCTTGGAAAAACAATCTTCAGTTTCTATAAATGGAGCAGAATGGATGTCGTGGATGATTTATAATGTCATAATTTTTTGGGGGATCCTGGTTTTTCTTGTTCTGGGTCATCAACTGGTGACTCACGCTTTTCTGTGGAACGTTTGATAATTTGCGTATATGTTTTTCGACACAAGGCCTGCTGCTTTAATCATGATTAGATGAAATATGCACATGTTGGAGAAAACAAGTGTTGCATCACACATCATCCAATAGGCTATCGGAAAGACATTTAGTCTCTTTCACTCTATTTAGAGAATATTTGATGAAAATTACTATTTAAACAGAGTATTTTAAGACAGTGTGTGGTTTGATGCATGCATTTGACTTGTGCTTATAAAAATACAAGAGTCTCTATAGTATATCAACATTTCCTGGTTTTATTTATTTACTTTTAGTTCATTTTAACTAGGTGATATGAGATGTTGAAATGCTGCACAAATAAACCAAGGCTTCTTAGAAAATCCACTCAGTCTCTTTGCTGAATCTTCATCTTTGAAATTGTAATTATTTTCATTAATTACTCTGTTTTTCTTCTCCGTGTCTCCTCAGATCATGATTCAGAGGGGAAGCGCGTTCAAGACATGCTGTCTACAATCGACAAACCACAGGTGGGTATGAATACCTCTCTCACTGAGTGCACACACACACACACACACACACACACACACACACACACACACACTCAAAACCACGTTCATCAATCACCCTCTTGTCTGATGTATTCATTGCTGGATTAATCCCTGATGTCTTTCCTGTGTGTGTGTGTGTGTGTGTGTGTGTGTGTGTGTGTGTGTGTGTGTGTGTTGCCTATTTGATAAGTATGAAAATGCTGATGCTAACCACAATAATAACTTGTAACTGTGGTGCATTACTCATTATTCCATGTTATTTTTGGGAATTTGGCAACACCTAGTGGAACCATTCAGACTGTACTCAAAGTGACCAGATGAGGGCAGCATTGTCTCATCCAAACTCTCTACTCCTCACTGATTCTCCATCAGCTGAGCAACACTATACAGGTGCTGGCCAGTAAATTAGAATATCATCAAAAGGTTGGAAATATTTCAGTAATTCCATTCAAAACGTGAAACTTGTACATTATATTCATGCAATGCACACAGACCAATGTATTTCCGATGTTTATTACGTTTAATTTTGATATTTATAGGTGACAACCAATGAAAACATCAAATCTGGTATCTCAGAAAATTAGAATATTCTAAAGGCCAATGAAAAAATGTTTGTTTCTCTAATGTTGGCCAACTGAAAAGAATGAACATGAAAAGAATGTGCATGTATAGCACTCAATACTTAGTCGGGGCTCCTTTTGCCTCAATAACTGCAGTAATGCGGCGTGGCATGGACTCGATCAGTCTGTGGCACTGCTCAGGTGTTATGAGAGCCCAGGTTGCTCTGATAGTCGTCTTCAGCTCCTCTGCATTGTTGGGTCTAGCGTATTGCATCCTCCGCTTCACAATACCCCATAGATTTTCTATGGGGTTAAGGTCAGGCGAGTTTGCTGGCCAATCAAGGACAGGGATACCATGGTCCTTGAACCAGGTGCTGGTGGTTTTGGCACTGTGTGCAGGTGCCAAGTCCTGTTGAAAGGTGAAGTCTGCATCCCCATAAAGTTGGTCAGCAGCAGGAAGCATGAAGTGCTCTAAAACTTCCTGGTAGACGGCTGCATTGACCCTGGACCTCAGGAAACAGAGTGGGCCAACACCGGCAGATGACATGGCACCCCACACCATTACTGACGGTGGAAACTTTACACTGGACCTCATGCAACGTGGATTCTGTGCTTCTCCGCTCTTCCTCCAGACTCTGGGTCCTTGATTTCCAAAGGAAATGCAGAACTTGCTTTCATCAGAAAACATAACTTTGGACCACTCAGCATCAGTCCAGTCCTTTTTGTCCTTGGCCCAGGCGAGACGCTTCTTGCGCTGTTTCTTGTTCAAGAGTGGCTTGACACACGGAATGCGACACCTGAATCCCATGTCTTTCATGAGTCTCCTCGTGGTGGTTCTTGAAGCGCTGACTCCAGCTGCAGTCCACTCTTTGTGGATCTCCCCCACATTTTTGAATGGGTTTGTCGTCACAATTCTCTGCAGGGTGCGGTTATCCCTAGAGCTTGTACACTTTTTTCTACCACATTTTTTCCGTCCCTTCGCCTGTCTGTTAATGTGCTTGGACACAGAGCTCTGCGAACAGCCAGCTTCTTTAGCAATCACCTTTTGTGTCTTGCCCTCCTTGTGCAAGGTGTCAATGATTGTCTTTTGGACAGCTGTTAAGTCAGAAGTCTTCCCCATGATTGTGGTGCCTTCAAAACAAGACTGAGGGACCTTTTAAAGGCCTTTGCAGGTGTTTTGAGTAAATCAGCTGATTAGAGTGGCAGCAGGTGTCTTCTATATTCAGCCTTTTCAGAATATTCTAATTTTTTGAGATACCAAATTTGGAGTTTTCATTAGTTGTCACTTATGAATATCAAATTTAAATGTAATGAACATTGGAAATACATTGGTCTGTGTGCATTGCATGAATATAATGTACAAGTTTCACGTTTTGAATGGAATTACTGAAATATTTCCAACCTTTTGATGATATTCTAATTTACTGGCCAGCACCTGTAAATACTGTTAACAGCCCTCTTTATCTTCTAGCCTCAAGGGGAATGGGAATGAATAAGTTCACACTGTGCAGACGTGGGTCGGCAGAGGGGATCGCGCACTCTTAGCTATGGGTTTGAGCAGCAGGATGTACAATTGGACCATTTAACAGTCTGAAATAGACTGGGAGAGTGAAGCTGTGACAGCTTAAAATATTTTAAATTAAGATATCTGACAGCTCCTATTGCCTCAGATGACCCTTGAAGGAGAAGTGTCTGAGACTTGGAAGTGAAGGGGAAGTAAACACGATGACTGTGTCATAAGCTGTTGATACAGCGTGTCACTTTGAGGTTTCCAATTTCACATCCAATAAAAGTTAATATAAATATGTTTTAAAATATGCACTAAATACCAATGAATCCATCCGTCATCATTCAGTCTCTGTTGTAAAAAAATGATGAAGTTACTCAGAAAATGTTTTTTTTTTTTGTCTTTAGCTGAGACTTTAGCAGTGTGGGTAAACTTTAGGGAGTAATTTCATGTGTTTACATGAAAAGGCTTCATTGATGTGTTGAATTTATCAATCTGAAAGTCACATCGTTATAATTAAAATCATTCATTTTGTGTCACAAATTCACTAGAAAAAACCATCTGGATGTTCTCTACCATACCATACCAAATTTATTTATAAAAGTGCATTTAAACACAGCATGTGAGCTGACCAAAGCGAGGTACTGTCACACCCTGTCCTGTCTCCCCTTTTGGTTTTGTCCTGCGTCTCTGTTAATTGCACCCACCTGCCTCTCACTTTCCAATCACCCAAACTCCCAGCCCTCTTGTATTTAAACCCCTTCAGTTTTGTGTCTCGTGTTGGATCATTGTTTCTATGATGGCGTATTCCCCATTAAAACCTTAATCGTTCCTGTGTGTCTGCTTGCCTGCTTCCCTCACCCGCGTGTGGATCCTTACCTCCGCTTCATTCACCGGCGTGCGCTGACAGGTGCACCACAAAACTATACAGGGGCCAATAAAACCAAATAAACACCTAAAAGAGCATTAAGATATAAACCAAATAAAATTAATATTCTATCTGATTGCCAGCTCTAATGTAGAAGTGGTAAATTTACAGATAAATACACAAACATCCGTTCTGGGTCTTCTTCCTTTTTGAGGCAGCTTTTCTTTTATGAAGTCTATTGTCTATAACTGTACCACCTTAAATAATATCCAGATGTCCATATTATAAATGTACTACCTTAATCTCAGGGATTTTAATTTGTAAAGGTTCCAGTTAATTATTCTGAAATCAAAGTCAGAATTCTGAGAAAAAAAAGTCAGGATTGTGAGATCAAAGTCAGAATTCTGAGAGAAAGGTCAGAATTCTGAGAAAAAATTACAGCATTCTGAGAAAAAAGTACAGAATTCTGAGAAAAAAGGTCAGACTTCTGAGATCAAAGTCAGAATTCTGAGAAAATAGTTAGAATTGTGAGATCAAAGTCAGAATTCTGAGAAAAAGGTACAGAATTCTGAGAAAAAGGTACAGAATTCTGAGAAAAAGGTACAGAGTTCTGAGAAAAAAGTACAGAATTGTGAGAAAAAAGGTCAGAGTTCTGAGAAAATAGTTAGAATTGTGAGATCAAAGTCAGAATTCTGAGAAAAAGGTACAGAATTCTGAGAAAAAAGTACAGAATTGTGAGAAAAAAGTACAGAATTCTTAGAAAAAAGGTCAGAATTCTGAGAAAAAGTACAGAATTCTGAGAAAAAGGTACAGAATTCTGAGAAAAAAGGTCAGAATTCTGGGAAAATAGTTAGAATTGTGAGTAAAAGGTACAGAATTCTGAGAAAAAAGGTCAGACTTCTGAGATCAAAGTCAGAATTCTGAGAAAATAGTTAGAATTGTGAGATCAAAGTCAGAATTCTGAGAAAAAGGTACAGAATTCTGAGAAAAAGGTACAGAATTCTGAGAAAAAGGTACAGAGTTCTGAGAAAAAAGTACAGAATTGTGAGAAAAAAGGTCAGAGTTCTGAGAAAATAGTTAGAATTGTGAGATCAAAGTCAGAATTCTGAGAAAAAGGTACAGAATTCTGAGAAAAAAGTACAGAATTGTGAGAAAAAAGTACAGAATTCTTAGAAAAAAGGTCAGAATTCTGAGAAAAAGTACAGAATTCTGAGAAAAAGGTACAGAATTCTGAGAAAAAAGGTCAGAATTCTGGGAAAATAGTTAGAATTGTGAGTAAAAGGTACAGAATTCTGAGAAAAAAGTACATAATTCTGAGAAAAAAGGTCAAAATTCTGAGAAAAAGTACATGATTCTGAGAAAAAAGTCAGAATTGTGAGATCAAAGTAAGAATTCTGAGAATAAGGTCAGATTTCTGAGAAAAAAGGTCAGAATTGTGAGATCAAAGTCAGAATTCTGAGAAAAAGTCAGAATTGTGAGATCAAAGTCAGAATTCTGAGAATAAGGTCAGAATTCTGAGGAAAAAGGTCAGAATTCTGAGGAAAAAGGTCAGAATTCTGAGGAAAAAGGTCAGAATTCTGAGGAAATAAGTCAGAAATCTGAGAAAAAGTCAGAATTGTGAGATCAAAGTCAGAATTCTGAGAAAAATATCAAAATTCTGAGAGAAAAGGTCAGAATTCTGAGAAAAAGTTCAGCATTCTGAGAAAAAGGTACAGCATTCTGAGAAAAAAAGGTCCGAATTGTGAGATCAAAGTCGGAATTCTGATGAAAAAGGTCAGAATTCTGATGAAAAGGGCTGGAATTCTGAGAAAAAAGTACAGCATTTTGAGAAAAAAGGTCAGACTTCTGAGAAAAAGGTCAGAATTCTGAGAAAATGTACAGAATTCTGAGATAAAGGTACAGAATTCTGAGAAAAAAGGTCAGAATTCTGAGAAAATGTACAGAATTCTGAGATAAAGGTACAGAATTCTGAGAAAAAAGGTCAGAATTCTGAGAAAAAGTACATAATTCTGAGAAAGTCAGAATTGTGAGATCAAGGTCAGAATTCTGGGAAAAAGGTCAGAATTCTGGGAAAAAGGTCAGCATTTTGGGTAAAAGGTCAGAATTCTGGGGAGAAGAGTCAGAATTGTGAGATCAAAGTCAGAATTCTGAGAAAAAAGTCAGAATTGTGACAGAAAAGGTCAGAATTCTGAGAAAAAAGTTCAGCATTCTGAGAAAAAGGTCAGCATTCTGAGAAAAAAGTCAGAATTGTGACAGAAAAGGTCAGAATTCTGAGAAAAAAGTACAGCATTCTGAGAAAAAGGTCAGCATTCTGAGAAAAAGGTCAGCATTCTGAGAAAAAAGGTCAGAATTCTGAGATCAAAGTCAGAATTCTGAGATAAAAGTCAGAATTCTGAGATCAAAGTCAGAATTCTGAGAAAAAAAGTCTGAATTCTGAGAAAAAAGTCAGAACTGTGACAGAAAAGGTCAGAATTCTGAGAAAAAAGTTCAGCATTCTGAGAAAAAGGTCAGCATTCTGAGAAAAAAGTCAGAATTGTGACAGAAAAGGTCAGAATTCTGAGAAAAAAGTCAGAATTCTGAAAAAAAGTACAGCATTCTTAGAAAAAGGTCAGAATTCTGAGAAAAACGTCTGAATTCTGACATGAAATTCAGAAATCCTTTGTTTTTTCTTTTCATTGGCCCTTTAAACCTCTATGATATTCTGCTTAATATTTTTTGCCTAATCTTGCTGACCAATACAAACAAGTTAACACAGATTCTAACATTTTATGAAGACTGGGATTTAGCCTTTTAAAAAAAGTTTGTTTGGATAAATATTTATCTTTCTGGGTTTGTAGAAAACAGCCACTGGGATCGAGTTGGGTCATTGCTGCATGACACACAACCAAAATGATCTTAAGTATAAATAAAAAAACATATTTGTGGAGAATTTGTCAAAAACTCAGATTTGGTTTCACCCACCAGACCCCAGATTTCTATAAACCTTTGTTAGCATGCAGAGACGCAAACACGCAAGTTTCCCTTTAGCTGTTTTGTTTTCATAAGGTGTTGATGCATCTGAGAAGCTGCATCTAAATCTGTTACAATGATTTCAGCAAAACACAAACACACAAAATAAAAGCATCTTCATTCCTATTAATTTACTGTAACTTAGCTCTGCAAAAATATTCAATATTTTTGTTTAGTTTTGTACATAATTTTTAAAGTGTGTAAATGACGTTTGTCCTATAGGTGTCCAATGTTCAGGCACGGGCTGCCCGGTTGTCCTGGGCCCCCCCAGCTGGACTGGTAAACAGGCATGGTAACGGGATGCCGGTGTCCTGCTCCTATGAGGTGTCTCTCTCAGATAAGGGAAAGGACGGAAAGTATCGTCTCATATACAGGTAAAAAGATTAGATCAGTGCAGAAACAACATGCTGCTACACGCAGTTAAGTCAAAACATAATGGTGGGATGTTGTCTGGGTTCGTGTTTCAGTGGTGAAGAACTGGAGTACCACCTGAAGGACCTAAGGCCAGCAACAGACTACCACGTACGGTAAGGAACTAAGCTTGCCATGTTCAATATAATTTAGAGTTTTAGTCTTTAGGTGGTTTTGAAGGCCAATACCAATTTCTAACCATCTGATACAAATTTTGATGAATCCATTTGAACAGAATTCTGTGTGTGACTAGAATATTTTACGGGTTGGTTGATGGACCAAAAGAAGAAAAGAAAATTGTTGAATAACCAATTAAAACCATTCATGCAGAAAACTGGCTAAAACAGATCACTGAATGATTTTTGCTAATGATAAACATTTTTTAACCTTGCTCTATTCTCTTTTTGCTCTACATTATGTTTCTAAGCTGTTTAACATTTCTCACACTTTCTGACTCAAGACAATTAAGCTGAGAAAATGATTCTAGACCAGTTCCAATTGACCCCAATGGCTCTTTTCAGAAAATACGATTTTACTTGAAAGCTTTTGGACATATTCAAAATTCAAGGGACAAGCGCCCCTCACAAGCTTTCCGAGACATGTTGGAAACACTTTCTGTTGTCAGCAGACCCAACCCCGGTGAGAATTAGAAACCACATGGATGTTCATATCTCTCTCTCTCTCTCTCTCTCTCTCTCTCTCTCTCTCTCTCTCTCTCTCTCTCTCTCTCTCTCTCTCTCTCTCTCTCTCTCTCTCTCTCTCTGTCTCTCTCTCCTCTCTCTCTCTCTCTCTCTCTCTCTCTCTCTCTGTCTCTCTCTCCTCTCTCTCTCTCTCTCTCTCTCTCTCTCTCCTCTCTCTGTCTCTCTCTCCTCTCTCTCTCTCTCTCTCTCTCTGTCTCTCTGTCTCTCTTCCTGTCTCTCTCTCTCTCTCGTCAGGGTGACGGCAACATATGAATCTGTCCGAGGTTCGTGTTCAGAGCCCGGCTCGTTCACCACACACTGCAGCGTTCCCGACGCCCCACTAGCCCCAAAACTCACTCACCGCACTAAGAGCAGCCTCAGTCTACAGTGGAAGGTACAGCTGCATGTTTTGATGCTGAAACTACAGAATAAATGTCCTGTAAAAGTTAGTGTGCTGCACCTGGTTTATCTTATCAGCCCCGCAGTGTCAAATAAACACCATCTACATGTGTCCATTTTAACCTTTCATCATCAAGTACATTTTTATCAACTCACATTGCCACCGATAAAGACTCTCATCACTCACGCAGACATGATATGAGGTCGATTTGCTCCAAGAACACATCAGGCTTCTATTTATTTATTTAATGATGAGTTTATTGTTGCTGTCTGTCATACTTGACTAAGCTCTCAATCGTTGTGTTTTGTTTTCTGCCCTGGTTTGTTCCGACCACAGCCTCCAGTGGACAACGGATCCAAAATCACAAACTACCTGCTCGAGTGGAACGAGGTGAGTCTTTACCTGCACCTCAAAAACAAAGCCAATCAATAAAGATTCCACATTCAATGTTAAATAATATATATGATGATTGTCCCTCTTCACACCTTCAGGGGAAGAAGAACAGTGTTTTTAGAGAATGTTACTTTGGGAACCAGAGACACTATAAGCTGACGCGGCTGTTTCCCGCCTGCGGCTACACGTTCAGAGTGGCTGCGCACAACGACATGGGCACAAGGTACTGGTGCTAAACACACACACTGTTTTGTGCGCATGTGTTAATGCACGTGGAATGCCGCTTTTCCCCTTCTCCCACCTTTTTTGTTATGTTCAGAAACGTTAAACTAGGGTGACAAAATAAGGGGGAAACAGAGCGGAGATAAATACACATTCTTTTAGTTTAGTTCAGATGGACACAGCTCTGAGCTGCCACAAGTAAATATTTCAGATCAGCAAATCAGTACAGTCAAAAACAACCCGAGTAAATGCTAAATACAGCTTTCAAAATATTCATTTGTTTCTTAAAAGAAAAAAATATCCACGCCAACCTGGTCCTTTGTAAAAAAACAACAACAAAAAAACGACAACAATTACTTTCCCGGTGAAATCAGGAATAAACTATGATTAACAACATATTTTTTGAAAGGCTGACTTCAGCTCACCCAGACCTGATTATTCCCAGACAAACTTCCCAATGAATCTGCCCTCGAAGGCTGAAAGAGCTCAAAAACCTATACATCATGTCTCGTCCCAGTGGTGTTCAAGAATCAAATGACACAGAAAAACATCTAAAGCACTATACACCTCACTTGGTTTTGATTCTGGTCAGAGGTTGTGATTTAACAGTTATAAAGTGATGAGGTCGACTAAAAATGTCCTCCATGGTGGAGCACCAAAATCTCAGCTGAACAAAACCAAAGCAAAGTCTCCCCAAAAAGTGTTGATGGTCCCCAAAATATTTAGGAAAAAAATCTGTGGACTGACAAGACAAAAGTACTTTCTAGAAGATGTGTGTGTCGTTGCATCTGGAGTAAAACCATCATACCAACAGGCAAGCATGGTGGTGGTAGTTTGATGGCTTGGGGCTGCTTTGCTGCTTCAGGACCTGGACCACTTGCTGTAATTGATGAAACCAGGAGATTGAGGAGGAGAATGCCTGACCTTTGACCTTCAACAGGTTTTTAGTTCTGGAAAACCACTTCAATATGGCTGAGTTAAAACAATTCTTTAAAGAAGAGTGGAAGATTTTTCCTCTAAAGGAAGGAGACACTCATTACCAGTTGTTTAAAAAGGTTACACATTTCGTTCTGGAATCCCCAAATGACCCTCTTGCTCTCTGCTGAAGCTCCCTTACCTTCAGCGTCATTCACCTCTTTGCAATCTGGTGTAAGTTTTTCTTTCCACTTCTCCCTTCGAAAAGCCTCTTTCTGCTGAATTAGAAATTCATGACGCATGACATCTGCTCCTTCTTCCACAGGTCAGCATTTAGCTTCAGTGCTTTAAAAAATATATATATATCTTATAAAATGTGACTGAAATGAAGATGTGTTTTTATGCAGCGGCTTCAGTCAGGAGGTGGTATTCTACACCATGGGCACCCTGCCTGCTCTGCCTCTGGCGCCACGGCTGGTCAGGGCCGGCGTGTCCTGGGTCACCCTGGAGTGGGTACGACCTGAGGGCAGCCCCGGCGAGGAGCAGCTTAAATACACGCTCGAGATCCAGGAGGACAACAGCGTTAGTAGAGCAAATTCATTCCTCCTCACAAACAAAGCATTTCATAATGTCTAAAACATAAGTCATGAACAGAAAACCTAATTTAATACTCATCTTTTTGAAATAGACTATTGATATACAAGTGCTTCCATATAAAAGCTTTATTCGGTTCTAGTCTCTGATTTTCATCCTCTTAAATCGCCAGAGTAAAAAGTAAAGGAGAAAATAAAATCATCTACCGGTAATTCAGAAATCAATAGATATAACAAAAGGTATATTCACAAAATAATAAATAGATATGTATATGTATTTATTCGTATAAATAAATATTTATTTCTATATGGATCAATATAAAATTACCATATTAAAAACCTGCTTTCTCCCACAGGGAACAGACTTTCATCCAAAGTACACTGGAGATAACTTGACCTGTACTGTACAAGGCCTGAAGAGAAGTACTCAGTATAAATTCAGGGTGAGTGATGGCGTCATTTTGTGTTCTTGTCACTACACAACATCCTGTTCGGACTAAATCACGCACTCCTACTACTACAAATCATTAATGGTGTTGTGTTGCAATGATTTGACTATGCAAGTGTAGTTTACGGTGACTTATTTAATAACATTTGTGTTTATGCGTGGGTCTTAAAGGATTAATTTATTAAATGCTTTTTAGCCAGACTAAAGTAATCTGTGTTTTATTTCTGCCAAATTTACATATAAATACTATTTTAACAATCCTGGATAGCTTCCTTAAAAAATTCCCTGTATTTAATATGTGTCCTTCTAGGTTTCTACAGCCCCCAAAGGCGCTTTACAACACAAACAGTCATTTACACACATGTTTAATGTGTTTACAATGTAACCACAACTTCCCTGGGGCGCACTGACAAACGCAAGACTGCCAAGCACTGGTGCCACTGGTCCCCCTGACCACCACCAGCAGGCAAGACGGGTTAAGTGTCTTGCCCAAGGAAACGGCTACAACAGACCGGGCTTGAACCTGCAACGGCCTGGTGACAAGGCAGGCAATTAACTCCTCTGCCACCATCGCCCCAAAATCTTGAATATCCTCAGTTTACAGAATTTGGTGTTTTCACCATGACTGATGAGCGAACGGCTAGTTTGAGTGCAGCTGTTGCCATTCTATAACTGCTCAGATTATGTGAACTATGTTTCGATGTAACCCAACATTTCTGTCAAATACCAACTTTATGAGCTCAGGCGGTTAATTCCACTGGGAAACGTGACTTTTCAGAAAAGAGGCTGTTTCGGGAGCTGTTCATTACTGGTAATTAACCACAATCCTGAACTCATTCCCAATCAGAAAAGCTCTTCACTGCCAGCGTTTTTCAGTGTTTTCGCAGTTTTTTTAAGAGTCACAGAACGTTGCACTCTAAGATGATGTCAACACCAAAACTACCAAAACAAAGAGGAGACTCCCCTCTTACATCAGGAAAAATCGGCGCCTTTCGAGCGTTATCCGTTCTTTCATAATCCGTTGTTGAATTGCGATCGGCAGAAACTTTTCCTATTCGCACCTCGCCTTTTTGTACAGCAGCGACCCAAAACGATCTCCTAACACATGGACTTTCTGCGTCCTGATCACACGACGTGTGAAATACGCGGATGAAGATCGGCTTTAGAGCTGGGATGTTTGTTCTCACGGTGCGGGGGCTCGTTCTGACATCCACACAGTAAAAAAATGCAAATGACGACTTTAGGAAAGGCCAAAATAATCCTTTGAGACAATGCTAAACAAGCCCAGAGGCCAAATAACTGCTGACAAGAAATTTTTTTTAACTTTCACTTTTCACAAACGCCTCAAACTTCATAATCTGTCATTTATTTTTGGACATTTCACTCCTTCTTTAAGCCAAGAAGCTCTAAACCCTATTCCACTTGTTAGCGCACAGGCTGATTATTAACTTGTTTTAAATCCTCTTGCATCAAATACTTATTTTTCATATATGACACCAAAGTTTTGATATATTTGATTTCATATTTTAACTCCGTTTTCTGCTGTAGTTTAGATTTTTGGGTTTTAATGCCCTCTTCAGGGTTCTAATCCGTTTTTCATTGTAAACATTTTTACCCATCTAGGTGACTCATCATGCAATAAAGCACCCATTAATCACATTTCTCTTCCAGAAGTGTGACTGATTGAACAGAGCAAAAGGGACAATCCACCAGTCATTTGATCCCATAAACGCTCTGCCCGTTTCACTAAAAGCTCTGATCTAAACTGTTTGTAATGCGAGGACATTGTGAAACATAATGTACCAACGGTGCATCAACCCAAGTGTGTTTGGATGTGTTTTCTGACCCAGTCAGCTCCAACAGCACTTCACATGTACTTTTATGCACACGGGCAGATTCTGATGTCTGAAGACACAGTGACACGTGATAACACACACGGAGGCAATTGTGTTTTCTTTGTGTGTTTTCCATTATGTGTGCACAAAGAAAAAAGATTTTTTATGGGATGGCAAAGGAGTACAGAGAAAACCATTCAGGACAGTTCCTTTATGTATTTACCTATTGGAGTGTCGTGGTAACGACTTTTGACTTGATCTCCATCTTTACTCTTGACCTCTTTTATTTTTCTATTCTTCTCCTGCTTCGTTCACCCTCTCTGTTCATCTCCCGCCACCCTCCCGTTGTTAACCTTCCACCCTGTCCGTAACTGTCCCTGCAGCTCATAGCGTCGAACATGGAAGGAAAGAGCAGTCCCAGTGAAGTGTTGGTGTGCACCACCAACCCGGATAAACCAGGTCCTCCATCTACACCTTGCGTTACCGGAGTGACGCCCTACAGCTTTACTGTCACATGGGGTAAACGCTGACAAAAATGGATTTGCACGCACTTCATTTTACAATAAAAATCATTAAGGATTTACATGAAAATGTAGTTCTTTTAAGCAATGTTGCCCTGCATTATTACCCCCTAACTAAAATCTGTTCATTGATTAGATCCTCCTCAGGACAACGGGGGCTCGGGGGCTCTAACATACCTGCTGGAGATCTCAGAAGGATGCTCTGAAGGTACAAGCATTGCTTATTTCTTCCTCCATGGTAACCAGCATTTTATATTATAAATAATATATTTTATCTAATAAAAAATAAAATCTTCCTTGTATTGATTGTTTTTTCATTTTTAAAACTAAACGTTTGACTGACTCTGTGTGTGAACAGAAGATCTAATCCTCATTTGGCAGCATCAGAGACTTGATGCAACCTGCTGGGTTCCTTAAATAGGAAACTTTTTACTGATTTGCTAAATGAACTGACCTTTATTGGAATATGTATTTAGTGACGTGCCTTGAGGCGACTCTTGTCGTGATTTGGCGCTATATGAATAAAACTGAATTGAATGAACTTGCAGTGCTGTTTCAGTTTTCTGTCATTTGCACTCTTAAGAATAAAAAGATCAGTAAAAGAACAAGTGCAGCATTTTCCCAGACATGATAAATGGAAAAATATGTTGCTTATGTAGAAAAATAGAGCATAATGTTAGTGAAAAGAAAAGGTAATAACAAAACTGTGTTTGATTTTCTCGTTTACAGTTTTCATTCTCTTTTGATTTAATTTTCCACATCTGCAGGCAAACATGGGTTTAGCATAACATTGCATGTTTTCTTTTGTGTGTTCACTCTGTATAAAAGCCTACATTCACATGGCTTCTCAGGAGCTGTTTTAGAGGTAGAGTTTTGTCTTTCTCCAGCCTACTTGATCCATCAGCAATTTATAATCTGACAAATCACTGTTTAGGAATTAATTAGGTCATGCTATATTGTTTCTGGAAAATTAAGTGGGTGGACATTTGAAACCTGTTCAAACCAGCAGGAGATTAGGTGTGTAATTTTCCTCATGGAGGTGACAAGACTTGTAATGATGTGTGTGTGTGTGTGTGTGTGTGTGTGTGTGTGTGTGTGTGCGTGCGTGCGTGCGTGCGTGCGTGTGTGTGTGTGTGCGCGCGCGTGCGTGTGTGTGTGTGTGTGCACGTGCGTGTGTGTGTGTGTGCACGTGCGTGTGTGTGTGTGTGCACGTGCGTGCGTGCGTGTGTGCGTGTGTGTGCGCGCGTGTGTGTGCACGTGCGTGCGTGCGTGCGTGCGTGTTTGTGTGTGTGTGTGTGTGTGTGTGGTATTTGTATATTTGAGCAGCAAGCCAGTGGGAGGTAGCATACAGTGGTCCAGCAAGAGAATGTGTGTGTGAGCGGCTGACACCTGGAACCTTCTATCGCCTACGTGTGTGTAGCATCACCACTGGGGGACACAGCCCGGTAAGAACCCACACACACTTTACCATGAATTTAGTTAATCATCAATTCTGGAGTTAAAGCAGCAATCCAGAGTTTTTATGTACAGTTTTTTTTATCTCAAAGTGATAGTCTTACACTGTACAGTGATATAAAATAGGCAACATGTCAATTTGTTTTTGTTAGTCCCCACCCCACCCCGTCCTCAGTCCCATGCAATTTGAACTGAGCTCCATTCATCATTAGCCAACAGTGTCAATCATTGTGTGCGCCCAGATTAGCTGATGTATCTGGACTGATGCAAAGTTGGCAACATTTCAGCACAACATCACAATAACTGTAAAACGATGTGTTTTTGCCTGACTGGATTTTCGTGTTCACGAATGAGAGGCGTTGCTTCCAGCCATAATCACTGAAGTGGGGAGAAGGGCTTAAGGTGCAATACATTGTTCTGTCTCTAGATGGTGTTCTTTGACAGAAAAATTCAGATTTGTGCTTTAATTGTTTTCAGAAGAAATTTTATTTTGAAAAAACTTATTTTTTAACACTTCATTCATTTATTACTCAAAGTACTTTCTTTTCTTCTTTCTTTTGCTCCTGAAGTGCACTGTTAGTGTTCCGGTCCGTACGTCAAGTGTCCCACCAGGTCCCTGCCAGCCTCCGAGGATTGTGGGTAAAGCCAAACACAAGGAAGTGCAGTTAGAATGGGGTGAGTTCACACTGACTTTCCCTTTATTTACCCTTTATTTACTTTTTTGAGCTTTTAATGGAAGGCAGTTAAATCCCCTTCTGGCTGTCTAATACACCCTGCTGGTCGACTCTAATATGAACCGAGCTGACCACATTTTAGTCTAATTCAGCCCATTAAACACAGAGCCTACCCTCGTTTCTCGCCTTAACTCTCCTAATGTCAACCTGTTATTGCAGATTAGTTCAGTTATCTCTTGGCAGGTGAAAGTAATGCATTCTGCAACGCAGAGGAAGTTCTATCTTTGACTGGTTTAATACAACTGATCACGTCGATAATCGGCTCAAATTCATGAAGCGCTGCAGCAATTAATGAGGCGCGTTGAAGGTCAAACTCAAAGTATTGAAGGGTTTTCCCCGGCGCTCTGTTCATTTATGGCATTCAACCTGCTGCAAGCAAGAGGCAAACATTAAAGGAAAATATTGCCATCTGAATGATCATTCTGTGTTTAAAGCACACAGAAATATTGATATTTAACGATAAGTGCTCTTTTACAAGCAGTAATATATTTTCTACGTTTATTTGAGCTGATGGTTGCATTGTAAAGGTTTTCCTTTTAATGATTTCCTTGCAGACTCCCCTGTGTGTGAGGGAGTGTGTGAACAGTGTGTGTACAGTCTGGAGATGAGTGAGGGAGACGCCAAGCCAACAGAAGTGTACCACGGCCAGGAGCTGCATTGCACCGTCGCTAGTTTGCTGCCCGGTGCAACGTACGGCTTCAGATTGAGGGCTGCCAACGAGGCCGGGGTGAGACACGCTCCATGAAATGCAGATGTCAAAAAGTAATATATTAGCTCCAACATACATTGAACGAGACATCACTGCCATTCAGAACTTTAAATTTCTTCATCATGTTTGATGAAGCTATCACCTGGAAGTCACGCATAGGTTACATCAGAGGTAAAATTGCCAAAGCCATTGCAGGACTACGTAAAGTAAAGTTTTTACTGAATAGTTGTGGATTGCTGACATTGTTTAACTCACTAATTGTTCCATACTTGACTTACTGTGTAGAAATATGGGAATCCACATGTAAAACGTATACACAACCACTGTTTATTCTACAGAAAAGAATCATTAATAACAATCACTATAGAGATCCATCCAATCCATTATTCATCAAATATAAACTACTGAAATTTTATGATCTAGTGAATAGGAAACTTTGCAAACAATGTATGAAGCTAAAACCAATACATTACCCACCAACATTCAAAAAATGTTTGAAAAAAGAGTCAGTAATTATTTCTTAAAAGGAACTGAAGTATTTATAAAACCGAAGTTTGAAGGAGGTGACTATCTTTGTAAATGGCGTGAGAATATAGAACAACCTTAGCAAAGACATAAAAGAATCAAAGTCACTAAATATATTTAAAAAATGTATCAAATCAAGTGTATTACAGAACTACAATGACCTAAATTCAATTGGTGTTTGATTAGGTCTGTAAGTTGGAAGAATATAAATGAATCTGCGTTTCGTTTTGTTTTGTTGTTCATTGAGAATTGTATCGAAGCATTATTAAAGGGGCATTATGGAAGTTTGACAGCCAAAACATGTATAGAAATAATAAATTTCTTCTTCATACATTCTCCTGCAATGCCCTGGTCCTGTAGAATGAGCCCTGGCATTTTTACTGTGATTGCCTGTTTTCCTGTAAAATCACAGAAAAAAGAGAGTTGCTCGGGTCGAGCAGGCTGCTTCATGCGCGTTCACGCTCAGGCACAGCCCTCCGAACCGTTCTTTGAACGTTGTTTCAGCTGTTATCAAGGGTATGAATGTTACAGATACAAAAGACAACACTGGCTCTTTAGCTCGCCTAGTAAGACGTCGGACTTTCGTGCAGAAAGCCTGGGTTCGATTCTGGATGTGAACATAGTTTTTATAGAGTTTCTTTTTTACATTAATGGTATATTTTTTTTACAGTAAGATGCCCACATTTTTATTTGAGACTCGCCGAACGGCATTGAATTCACAGGTAAAAAAGATGTGGGTTCAACTTTCATTTTTGAACAATTTTTCAAGCAAGGGAAGGGCATGATCTGAGCATGCAGGAAGACTGACCCATCTTAAACCTTTGTCGGCTGTGCTGAAGAGAAAGGTACAGAACCAAATTATTTAAGTAATTAGCTGCGCGTTCTCCCGTCCTCTGTCCTCTGGGCCACACACACACACACACACGGGACTGTCTCAGCTGTTATTTTCGTTAAGGAGTGTGCACGTACAGCATGCGCGCCTCGTGCACGAGCCTACTATTGAAGCTGCCGTTACGCTTTTGGCCTGAGAGGGCAATCGCGAGCATGAAAATTCAAAACTTCGTAAAGTCCCTTTAAAAAGTTTGGTTTGTAAATAGGGGCAGATAATATAATACATTTCTTCCTTCTGCCCCTTTTCATTCAAATTGTTTGGTGTTCATGTGTATGTATGTTTTTGTTGTTGTTTGTGTATATATATATATATTTTTTTAACGCTTTGAATGAAACACATAAAGAGAGAAAAAAATGTATTTCATGGTCATGGAGTCTATTCGGTTCACCGAGTGCATTCACTCTGGACACGCTCAATAAATTTCTAGTAAGAGAGGGAGAGAAAAAAGCACGTAATTCAACTTCCATTTGTAGCTGCGCACACAGAAGCATGAGGGCCAGAAGTAATTAGGTCTGCCTGTCCCAGACAGGTTAATGTTGGGACGCTGAGGTGCTCCACAGCACAAACGGAAGGGTCGATCAAGCTCGCAGTCAAAGGTGGGCTCATGTTCAGACTAGTTAATCAACAGCATTAACAGATAAAAGGACCTGCAAACACCAATGCACGCAGACACGTACAGACACACAAAACTGAGAGCCGTTTGGTTTTCACGTTAGCTCAGCCCTGTGCACATTTCTGTCCAGTCTCTTATTGACAAAAACCACATAAATATCACATTTTAAAGACAGGAGACTGCAGATATTTGAGCATTTTAAACCAAAATGTAAAAAATAAATAGGAGATGACCAAGGTTTTTACAAGTTACTTAAATGTTTTGATTGTTTTGTTTTGCGTGTTCTAGTTCGGGGTGTATTCTGACCTGACGGAAGTAACGACTGCAGCTGGACCTCCTGGCCAGTGTGGGGCGCCGCTCATCACTCTGACAAGTAACACCTGTGTAACGGTTAACTGGGAGGTGAGCTAGATACAAATACAAATATATGTTAAGTGCTTTTTTTTTGGGTCTGAAGGTGTTTCTTTACTTTCTGTTTAGAAAAAATGTTGTAGGTTTTATTAAAAATGAATTTTTTTTGTGAAACGAAAAGAGAGGCTTGCTTCACTTATAATATAATATATTTAAAACTAAAGTGACATCAGTGTGAAGGTTCATAGAAGCATTCCCATGCTGCTTTGGGTCAGAATAGATTAATATTAGTTTATTAACTATTCTACATTTCTGTGCGTTTAGAGCCCTGAGGGTTCGGGTACAGACATCTCTGAGTATCGACTGGAGTGGGGGAGGGAAGAAGAACCCATGGAGCTCATCTACTCTGGGTCTGCCACACAGTGTGACCTGTCGGACCTGACGCCAGCCACAGATTTTTGCTGCAGGCTACAGGTGACGCACCAAGCATAGATAATAGAAGCACAAAGAGACTCGGGTAATAAGGAAAAGCAATGACAGGGATACAAAGACTCAGATGCAGATGACTGGATGACATGAAGGAGCATCAAACACAAACAAGCAGGAGCCAAGTGATTATACCTGATTCGATTTGTGCTACAATTCTTAATCTGGTGCATGTATAGGAGCTTTCTGTCTCTCTCATGCACACACACACACACACACACACACACACACACACACACACACACACACACACACACACACACACACACACACACACACACACACACACACACACACACACACACACACACACACACACACATCAAATGAAATGTGTCGTAGGCAGAACTACAAAAAAGATGGGGAGAGACACCAACTTGGTTGAACTCCTTATCACTTGTGGTTTCTACCTGGAAAAGCTGGTACTCAAACCGTTTCTATGACAACAGTTGAAGTAGCCAGACTCAGTGTGCACACTGAGCAACAAATCATTTATTTCTTCTTTGTGCCTCTGCACAGAAAAATCAGAACATTTATCTTTTTTCTTTTCTTTTTTTTATTGAACACCCAGATTGTGCAACGTTTGCCGTTTTCACCTTTCCACATATAAAGCTGTGTTTGGGATGAAATTATGAAGCATTTTTTTTACAAATATTAGTTGCTTTATGCAGTGTTAGAAGAGCTCTACCTTTGACAATTTTATTCATACTTTTAAATATTATGTATAATTGCAGTAAAGTGCACATTTTGTTGGTTATTAAGCGCTTTGTGATTTATATCTGCGAAAGGTGCTCTATAAATAAACTTTTACTTACTTACTTACTTATTTTATAAAAATGCAGGGAAGCAAAGGAACTTTTTTTGTTCAAACTCATAAATACCAAGTCTATTTTGGATAAATCTGTCTAAAGTTGCTGAAAGACATTAAGCAGAAAACTAGAAGCCGTGCAGTGATTAGGCTAATGCTCTTTCACAGCTAATTTGAATTCATTCCCCTCCTGTTGGTTTTCTCCCATTATTCCGTTCTTGTTAGACTCTATTTTTACTCTGACTTATATCAGACTACTCCACTTGCGTCTTCTTTTTCCTAAACATCAGTCTTTAGTTGTAGCCTGTTTTTACCTCTCCTGTCCTCTGACTCATCCATCCCTCCACTTCCACCCTGTCCCTGTGTCCATACACCTCTCATCACCTTTTTGTGTGTCTGTTTTACTATTAGGCTGTCAATCAGGCAGGCGCTGGCCCGTACTGCGACAAAGTGAGTTTCCGGACCCCAGCAACAAATCCTGACCAGGTTTCGTGCCTCACCATCCTGGACCTCCCGGCATCCTCGGAGATGGGTCACTCACCGTCTACTTGCCTGCTCCTAAAGTGGGACGAGCCAAACAGCAATGGTGCAGAGATCACCTCCTATGTCATCACCCTGGACGACCAAACCGTCACAGTGGAGTCGGGGACGAGTCATCTCATCACCAGCTTGCAGCCAGACAGCGAATACAGGTACTGGCTCAGAGCATGCGTTTAATGCCCGGACCACACTGTGCGATTTTTGTCTGTCTTAGCTAAATCTCTCGTCGTGAGCAGAATCATGACAAAAGACAATGATGAACGTGAGGGTGATTTGCATATCTCTGGACGTCCAGTGTGACTGGCTCTGCGACAGCTTTTTGAGCCATCTCACGACCAAAGACAGCCTCCAACAGTTTTTAAGCACTGTTGAAAACCTACCACTCCCATCTGCAATCGACCAATAAAAACACATCTTTCATGACGTTAAGTGTCCTGCTGGAGCAAGACCTGGTGCAGTCTAGCTCACTGCAATCTTGTGCTGTACAGTGTGCCATGTGCAATCCTGTGTGATGGCCAACAAACACACAGTGTGATCCCGGCTAAAGTGTTTCAGTAATAGCTGCTTCCTGTTTGTGCAAAACACAAAAGTCATGTTTGAAAAGAACGGGTGGTTGATTTAAATATTGTTAAAGTAAAAGGCAAATGAAAGTCAACACTCTCTAATGCACATTGATCATCTCAAGGGCCACAACCTCATCCATTTGCAGCAAAGCAAGGCCTCCAACTGTCCTTTAGGTGTCCGGTAGCCTTTAAGTCCTTACATTTTATAGTTTAGCAAACATCTGTTCTGTGGTCATCAGCAAAATATGTTATTTCTAAACATTTTGCCTGCAGTTCTACAAGTTTCAGAAATATGATGTGCTGTAGAGCACCATGCAAGAAGTTGAGTGATTTCCTGAAGCTGTTGGATAAGATTTAAGATTTCTCGGCCAAACAATTGTTTATCCCTCCCACTGTCCTAATGGGTGTGACCCCGCGAGGAAAGTTGCCCATTGAGCAGAGTTGATGGTTTATCCCTTGAGGTCCACGTGGCAGGGGTGAGGAGTAAGCACTACCTCACCCCTGCCACCTAGACTTCAAGGGATAAACCATCAATCCTGCTCAATGGGCAACTTTCCTCGCGGGGTCACACCCATTAGGACAGTGGGAGGGATAAACAATTGTTTAAATCTGGAGTCACGCCTTATCGGTGGCTTTCTAGTGTGTTTGGCCCCAGGTTCTTCCATAATATGTAATTAACAAGAATTATTAACTGCCACTTGGATTATTGGTGGCTAGTTTTACCCTGATGCTTAAATCAAGTCACACTTTTATGGGAAGACAGATGTTGGGACTGGGAATCTCTAAATCAGGTTTGCATATTTGTTTGTCAAAATAAATCTCTTGAGGCAAGATGTTCTCTGATAAGTTAGGGCTGTAATAAAATGTGCAGGAAGTTGCATTACTGAAGGAATGGTGTCATCTCTTATAGGCTTTGGAATGACACGTGATCCGAGTTTCATTTATGTTGCAAAATATAGGAATGACATGCAGTACCTACCGATGTTCATCGTTGTATTCACTAAACTTAAGTAATAATTTTCAAGCATTGCAGCTGAGATTTTGGGTTCTGAGTTAAACTTTCTGGCTAAAATCTCGCAACAGAAGTTTGATCAACACATTTAATAATAAACCAGTATTCCGTTTAGGTGTGGAAACACATGAGGTATTTAAAGACTCTGTTTGCTTTGCAACGTTGATGTTTTACGTGTCTCCACAAATAACATAAGTCTGGAGGAGTTCTGCCATGTGGTGGAGTTGCTAATGCTAATGGTTAGCTTCTACTAGTCGAGGCACCCTCTGCGGTTTCCTGGACGCTAAGCCAGCAACCGCCTTCCCCGTCGCAAGTCCGTTTGGGTGAGTTCACGCAATAGCTTGAGCTATTTTATATCAGAAGCTAATGCAGAAAATAAGTTTAGAACTATTTTCACGTCCAGCCTGTAAGTTAAACTCAGCGTGACCGATCATTTTCAAAAGTGATGAGTACAAATCGGTTTATCTTTGAAGGACCTATTTAAAGAAACAGACATCACCTGTTTGGTGCTTCTATGAACTGTAAAGTGACACCTATGATAAATGGCCTCTATTTGTATAGCACCTTCTTAGGGTTCTGTAACCCCCCAAGGTGCTTCACAACACAATCAGTCATTCACTCGTTCACACACACATTCACACACTGGTTGGGATGAGCTACGATGTAGCTACAGCATCCCTGTTGCACACTGAGAGAGGCGAGCCTGCCGAACTTTGGCACCACCGGTCCCTCCGACCACCACCTGCAGGCAAGGCGGGTGAAGCGTCTTGCCCAAGAACACAACGGCAGCATTTTCTGGTCAGAGCCGGTATAGAACCTGCAACCTCCCAATTACTGGACAACCCACTCTACCTCCTGAGCTGCTGCAGCCCCACACCTGTTCTAGCTGAGCAGCAGTAAACAGCTGCGTAGTAATCTGTATAAACAGGCTCTGGTTACACTGGTCAGCCACAACATTAAGACCACCGAAATGTAAATAAAAGTGTTCTTCTTGTAACAAAGTGTTGTTTTCCGGGATAATCCTGCCATCGACATAGATTGACCCCTCTGCCTAACCCCCAGCATGGCTGATCATTTGGCTCATGTCCGTGTACATTGTGTAGTCAGTTCTCTGAAACTAGAGGATGTATTTGGGAATTGTGAAGAGGCAGGGTGATCACTCACCCCACTGTTTTCTCTCTGAGGTTGTTTTTGTCCCAACGTCCCCCTGTTCTCTTGCATAATGTCTGCCAACTGAAAAAACAATGTGCATGTGTTTATTTGTGCGCGCGTGTCAGTGTACCTGTGGAGTCTTTGTGAGGGTCGAAGAGTATAATGGTGGTTGTTACTTGCAGAGGTGGGTGTGCAGGTGATTCATGTTTTAATTATATGGCCTTGTGAAGCTCTACAATAAGCGTTGTTTTCTCTGACAAAGGGGGGCTGGCCTCTGCCCACACTGAGGAGCAAACCCTGTTATGACAAACATGCAATTATAAAATAAAAACTAAATAAAAATGATTTTTTTTACAACTTGTAAAGTAAAAAAAACGTATTGGTTTGTTTTTAGACAGGAGATAGTTACATTTTACAGTGTTTTGTAATCTAACTACTGATTAAAAACTTTTTCATTAACAATTTTCCGGTTATTCAGAAAGTTTATCTAGTTAATTATAGTCCATTGAGATGATTAGAACAGAACAAAATGGAGAAATTGGTATCGGCTCTGAAAACATGAATCAGTGCATTCCTATGGGAAAGAGCTTAAAAACTAAGTTATTTAATTATGGTGACAGTGTGAGAATCCTGGTAATTCAATTCAATTATTACATGACTCTGATAAAGTAATATACATAGTTACAGTTCTATTACATTGTTAAACAAACCTTCTTAACCCAGCAGGGCTCTCACATCCTTAGGAAACCGTCAGCTAGTAGAACCTCGGGTCAGAACCAAACAGGGTGAAGCTGCTTTTAGTCACTATGCTGCACCCAGATGGAATCGGCTTCCTCATGACCTCAAATGTGCCCCAACTCTAGTAACTTTTAAATCAAAATGAAAAACAGTCATGTATTCATCAGCCTTTGAATGAATGTTTCTAATGCGGCACCTTCTGCTCTGTGACTGCTATCCTTTTTACTATGCCTTGGATCTGTTTGTTAAATCTGAAATGAATTTTTACATTTCTTTATTTGATTTTTTGTGTTTGCTGTTCTTGCTTCTGTTAAGCACTTTAAACTGTCTTTGTGTTTTAAATGTGCTATAAAAGTAAAGCTGCCTGCCCTTGCCACCAATTTAGAGTTTTTCTAAGCATGCAGCAGTATTATTAATATCTGTTAGTCATTAATGTGAGATCAAATTTCAAACCTGGACAGGAAATCCAGAGTTTTGCTGATTGGATGATTATATCAGGAGTGTGAGAGGGTTAATATAGCGTTATGCTTTCTGTATGTATCATAAATAAATATGCTAAACAGAAATGCACCTCTTCTTCCTAGAGCTAAGGTTCATTATTTTCATCTTAATTTTCAGTCTCTTAGCATCATTTATCCATTGTTCTTAATTAGTCAGGGAATGGATAGCACTGCCCTTTCTTCTCCGTCCTCACTTAGCTGCAAGAAAAGGTTGCTGTAAGGAGAAATCAACAAGCAAATGTCAGAAGGTAGGTGCACTCTAGTGAAGAGACTAATAAGCTGTGCAGACACCAAAAGAGGAAGTGTGGGGAAGAGGCAGAGGGAGAAGTCTTGGAAGTTAGGCAGCACGGGGGAGTTTGGAGCAGTGAATATGTGTGTTTTTAAGTTCAGATGCTGAAAGGTTTTTACATCTTCAGAAGCAGAATACTTTTTATTTTGTAATCTTTTGTAACGTCTAAAATGAAGAAAATAATTGTTTCCAAGAAAAATGGAAATTTCCTGCGGAATATTAATCATTTAGGGGAAAAAAGAAATGGTCAGATATTTTTGGTACTTTTAAATGTAGTATTGCAGAGTGCATTACATTGTAATGGCAGAGCAGTAGTGAGTGAAAGCCTCTTCACTGAAATTTACCTCACCACTAGACAAAAATCTGTCCAAACACTCTGAAAGCTTACAGGGTTAGATGGTTCAGACCTGCTTCAACAACTCCCAAAAGTTCAGTTTTAGCCTACGATTGGAGTCAATTTATCCCCCCCCCCCCTCCCCCCACACACACACACACAAAAAACATTTTTTTCAAGTTCAAATTCAATTCAAAAATACTTTATTAATCCCAGGGGGAAATGAGAGTTTCAGTACACACAAATCTGAGATCAGACATACATACATAGAACCATGACAAGAATTGGTGACTGTGGTCATTCGCAACACGAGTCGCACTACCATTATAGATGAAGAGGGTTCATATGAGGATAGAGTCGGGGGAGGGGAAAAAAAGGCACTTCAGAGTTACCCCCAACAGAGAGGACAGCATTGCTATGCAAAAAAACACCTCAGACAGAAATGCTCACAGACTTCAGACATTACACAACATAAGTCTCCACTAGGTGGTGGGTAGGGTTGGGACTCTCCTCACTTTGGTGCGTGCCATGGACGTAATTTTCACTTTAGAAGTGGAGGGGACACGGGGGGGTTGTATCTTTACAGTATGCTCTAATGGGAAACAGGCTTCAACACAAATGGTTGTTTTCCGCTTGGTCCTAGAGCTCAACCAGTGTCAATTTAATATAGCGTAATATTGTTTTTGGATGGTAAAAAGTGCAGGGGTCAAAACTTGACTTTTGAAAAAGTGGGGGGGACATGTCCACCCCCCAAAAAAATTACGTCCATGCAGCCGCATGGAGCAGCGCTCATCACCTCCGTTAGGACAGGGAAGGGAGATTAATGGGTTATAAGGCATAGTGACTCCTAGATATGGTTCCACGGCCTTCACCGGTCACAGTCCCGCCCAGGCTGGGATAGGGAGAAAGGGTTTCCATAGCGATGGCAGCATTCCACATTTGTTCTAAGGGGCAAGTTTTCACTTCAGCCCCACAGGCTTCAAGGGCACCAAATTCAGATAAGAATTGTTTTGGGGACAGACAGAGATAATTTCCTCTCTGCCTTAGAGTTCTGTCGGTCTTCAACCCCTCCAGGTCCAGCGTAATCAATCTATCCCAATCCGTACTGAATTGTCAACTCTGTCCTTGATGGAATCCACCTTCAGGGTCAGAGCTTGAATCTCAGCCAAAGTTCCAAGCTTACGACTCATCTCGACAATTATATGAGTTTGTGCGTTCACAGCGCGATGCATTCCATCCCCTGAGCTCTGGGATTGAGCCAAAATTCCTCGAAAGCTCGTTAATTTTCCAGTAAGCTCAGGCCAAAGAGCAGGAATCCTGACACCAAAACTACGAATATCCAGACATCTTCAGACTCCTCTACAGACAGTTGGGAGAGGCATATCAGGTTCCACTGTTTCCAGGAGTCCATGATATACCCAGCTGGCTCTGTCCCAGAGGGGCATCCGGGAGCCCCTTGTCCCGTTCTCATCGCTGAAAAAAATTTGTCAATCGCGTTGAGAGACCAACTGACCAGGTCCATTTTTAATAATTTCTAGTTTCCAGAAAAAATGCAGAAAGCGCCGTGCACACATAGGGCTGGGCGATATGGCAAAAATAGAATATCACGATTTTTCCAATATTTTATCACGATTTCGATTTTATCACGATTTTTTATCCATGAATAGCATAACTTCAATTGCGTATTAAAGAAGAGAAACATTGAATAAATAAACATTTATTCATATTAGGGATAATCAGCACAGTGCTAACACACTAATATTTTAAACTCACACCAGAGATGATAAAAGTCCTGAGAGAAACAATTACAAAAATTAGTTTTTCTCGTTTTTCAAGTAACTTAACATAAATTAAAATTGTAAACATATTTAAAGTGCAAACATGTCAATTGCAAACGTATTGTGCAAACATTAACTTGTTCAAAATACTATGTAGCTCCCAGTTGCTCATGTAGTGGATAGTTAAGCTCAAATACGGCTCTGATGTGCGGCTGGACCAGAGATCGCTTGTGGTAGCAAAAAAAACTGCGCATTCTGAATATTTTCTGCAACTCTCACTTTACATTCAGCCTACATGCGTGGAATGGCTGTGTTCGAAAAATACTTGCAGCTGGAAAACTCGTAGCGCGGATCCAATGTTTTTATGATTTTCTTAAATCCCACTCCTACTGTTCGCACGGGACACAAATCTTTAACCAAGTGGTACGTCACTGCATCGTCACGCTGTTCCATCGTCTGCTGTCTCTGTCGTAAGGAGTGAGTTTTGTGTGTTTCTGTTAGCGTTTGCTGCCTGGAAGAAGCACTAGCCGCTGCAGCTGCAGGCTTTTTAGCTTTAGCTGCCAGCTGGCTCTCATTGTATTGTTTGGGATGCCTTCTTTTCAAGTGATTAAACAAGTTTGTGGTGTTGCCATCACTTGCCTTCACGCTCTGCTTGCAAACTTTGCAAATGACGTTTCGCTGCTCTTTGTCATCTGGTGAAAAACCAAACCAGTTCCATATAACAGACGAGGTGAGGCGTTCCTCTTCGGAACGAAAACTTCGTTGTCGCTCGCAGCCGCGGCCGAAGCCATGTTTGTTCACACACAGGTGAAAACAAGCGGGGCACTGATATATTACTATGACTCACTCTGATTGGTTAAGGGTCAAACAAAGGCGTGTCATTCGCCTGAGGTAAGTTCCCTTTTCATTCAGAGGCAGAAATTCAACAGCAGAGCTGTGAATCGTGATAAAAAGGTCTCTCAAAAATGACAGACCGTCAGATGTGTAGATCGTAAAACGGTCTAAAATCGTCATATCGCCCAGCCGTATGCACACAAGACAGGACAAAGAGCCTTGGGATGAGGAGGGATGGAGAGGAGAAAAAAAGCATCTGTACTCTCCAAGAGCCAGAAGATTGATTTAATTTTTTTATTTTATTTATTTTTTATTTTATTATTTATTCTGCCACTTTGATATTTACCCTTGCTGTTTGCAGTTTCACAGTTTTAATATCTAACCAACTTGTTAACTTTCAGTGTGCAGATCCAGGCAGTGAATGCTATTGGCTCCGGTCCCATGAGTCTGCCACTGCTGGCAAGGACACGCCCACTCCCTCCTGCCCCACCCCCACTCGAATGTTCAGCAGCTGGCCCACAAAGTTTGAAGCTGAAATGGGGCGAAAACAGCGGACACACACGCACCCTGCTACCTGATGACATGGTCTACACACTACAAATGGAAGACAAGAACCACAGGTGACAATACACACACACACACACACACACACACACACACACACACACACACACACACACACACACACACACACACACACACACACACACACACACACACACACACACACACACACACACACACACACACACACACACACACACACACACACACACACACACACAGGCAGCGAATGTTCAGTGGGAATATTATTAATGGAGTGTGTCTAGGCAGTCGTAAATATCTCCTGGCAGCATTCAGTAGAAATAGACACACAATTAGATGCAATTCTTGAGCCAGTATGTGCTAAAACGATCCTTTACACAGGTTTAATGAAAAGTCACTCAGCCCCCTCCACCCCCAAAATACCACACTTGCAACTTCAGAGCATCCAGACTGTCACATCTCGTGTGAAGCAATAACGCTTTATGGCAACACGTGTTTACACCTCAGGACAGAGGAGCTATACCCGATTAGCATTATTGTAACGTGTTTATCATGGTGGAGCCTCAGAAGGAACACAGAAAACTTTTGTCTGATGGAGCTAAAAAAAAAATAAGAACATCCGACCACAGTAGGAGTCAAGCTAGAGTCAACATCAGGACTTTTCTAAATCACAAGGTAAATATGGATTTAAACAGGAGACAGGCCTAACACTCGTCCTAAGACCCACATAAGCTCTTTTCTTACCAGGCAGACAGTCATCGCTGCTTTATTGTCTCTATGTGAGGTCCTTGCATCCTCACACACCATCAGATCCTCAGCGTGCTGCACATACTCCAGCTGCTGCTGAGCAGCACTGCCATCTCCATTGCTATATAGGCAGGACGAGAGCAAACATGAAACATCTCTAATTTTGTGGCTCCAGGTTTACGTTTGTGCAGATTTCCATCTTGCTGTTCCATCTATACAAAATACGTCGATGAACACATGAAAATGGGCATGCCGGAGGAGTTAAACATCGATGTTGCCCTACCCTTTGACCACACTGCACTAATTTCCTTGGACTGCCAAACCCAGCAGCTGTTCATTACAGCAAACAAAGACTCTGATCGATTCAACAGGTCCACCGGTGAGACACTGAATCACAGCATGTTAAAGGAAGCTGAGGGAGCGTGGTTAGAGACATGTGTAGAGCTGTGTACTTGTGAGTGTGTGGCCTCTAACCATATGTACCAGGGAGTAATCATGTTGAGGGCAGATGGGGAGCAGCCTCCAGTAATCAACCCTCCATTTACCAACCTGGCCAGACGGGAGAGAAACAAGAAGAGAATTAGGTGACTGAGAGGGAGGGAAAGGTTAGAAAATAACCCCTCACATGGACTTAAATACACATCTGTGAAAGACACAAGAGGGGAGACATTTTTTCCCCTCAGTTTACCGAAAGCAGAAACACAAACAAGGAGATAATTTTATTTGATTGCCTTTCTGCATTATTTCCCTCTGAAGCTTGTCCCGCTTTCTGGTCAGAACCATCTGTTTAATTTAAGGCTTGGCTGGCATCAGGTTGGCATCCAGGTATCTTGGCAATCTAGGAATGATGCAGAGTGCAAAAAGCAGCAGATGGGGACACGTGTAGCAGGCTGAGAGACCTCTCTAACACGCACACAGATTAAGACAAACACATTCAAACGGACACGCTTAAATTTACCGAGCAAATACAAAACAACTTTCACCATTCAGACGCTTGTATTGACTCGTTATGACTAGGTTAGAACAGGGGTATTCAATCCTGGGTCTGGAGGGCCAGTAGCCAGCATGTTTTCGTGGTTTCTCTGCTCCAACACACTTGATTCAGTGGTTGAGTCACCTGTGCAGCAGCTCATCAGGCGGACTGAATGATAAATGACCCGCACTTGTATAGCGCCTCTCAGAGTAAGGACTCCAAAGCACTTTACACTAAAGTGTATCATTCATCCATTCACACACACATTCACACACTGATGGTGATGAGCTACAATGTAGCCACAGCTGCCCTGGGGCGCACTGACAGAGGCGAGGCTGCCGAGCACAGGCGCCACCGGTCCCTCCGACCACCACCAGCAGGCAAGGTGAGTTAAGTGTCCGGAGCTGGGCTCGAACCTGCAACCTTCCGATTACTGGACAACCCACTCAACCTGTTGAGCTACTGCTGCCCCCAAAGCAGTGTGTGAAGCAGGGTTAAAACTAAAACGTGCTGGACACCGGCTCTCCAGACCCCTGGTTTAGAATAAAAGTTTTATTTTGTGCCTTAATCTGTTTTATTGGTTGTAAATTAATTTTAAATGAAGTAAAGGTTGTCATATATACTGAATTTGAATTGAAACTAATTAGAGATCAGCCTCTTTTGTGGGAATGCTGCCTCTAGAACTCCTGAATTTGACCCCCCCCCCCCCCCCCCACACACACACACACACACACACACACACACTAACACACACATTGATGCATGTATGTATATCTCAATCACTGTGATTCTTGTGTAAGTTATTCACCTCAGGTTGGTGTCCATCACCTGCAGCCCCTGTTGGGTGGATGATATAATCTGATGACCATGTGTGTGTGTGTGTGTGTGTGTGTGTGTGTGTGTGTGTGTGTGTGTGTGTGTGTGTAGAGATGTGTCACAACTTTCCTTTAATACAAACACTAAACGTGATTTCTGCTCCTCTTTCATCCATTGTGCTCCGTTAAAACCTAAAACGAGTTAGCGTGATTGTTTAGTTTTATTAATCTTTTGGTTTTATATCGCTGAAATGGCCATGGCAACCATGCCTGCATTGAATAATAGTAATAATAATAAACCTTCATCTTTGTAAATAAATATAAAAATCTTTTCATATTCAGTTGTAATTTCTCCAAATGTAATTTAGGATTTTTTTCCATTCATCTTCTTGACTTTGTCCTCTGCTCTGTCTCTCTGCGTGTCCTCTGATCTAATTCCTGTTTATTAATCCTGTTTTATCTGTCGGTTGTTGTTTTTCACCACAACCTCTTGGGAAACATCGGCTTTTATCATATCCCTCCCCATCATGGATGCAGCTTGGCTTTCGCACATCCAGGCACACGGAAACCACGTGTATTGGTGTATTAGATGATAAAAAAGCAGCTTCCTCACAATATTCCATCCAGTTTAATTCCCCTCATTTTCCTCGTCATTCATTACTTGCCCAGCTTTTTTCCCATTATCTTCCTGTCTGCAGACGTGTTGCTCATGGTTCCAGAGCATTTCCTGTTCCTTTAGTGTCTTCTCTTTAGATTTTTTCTGAAATGCAAAGCGGAGCGTGTTTAATTCATAATGATGTGAGCCATGGCAGTGGGTGACAGTCGTCTTTGACATTTCATCAGAAGGGCTTTTAGAGAAAATACAGCTGGACAAACAAGACAAAGCTCAGCTTCTACTGTTTCAAACTCGTCTCTTCTTTATTTTCTGCTGCCAGTGTTTTTTTTCTTCATGTTTTCATGCCTTTTTCTGTCTTTGTGCTTTTTATTTATTTAAGTTTGTCCAGCATGTTTCTAAAGAGATATTCCAATGCTGTTCATTGTATGGAAACACACTTGAAATCCATTTGAATAAGAAATGGAATAAATGAATTCAGACCTTGTTGGAGTTAGAAGTTTAGGATATGATGGATGTTTACTTCAAATTTTGCAGCCTGATGTACGCATTCTAGATATTGATGGTGGGATAAAATTTCCCCCCATGATTTCTGAAGCATCTCCCACAAATTGGATTGTCTTGGATTCTTCCAGTGTGACATTTGGACAAGCTGCCTCAGCAACACATTTTGGGTCATTCTTCTTTCCATAGAATGATAGCTGGCACCATTCAAGCGCTATCTACATGCTTTTTTAAAATGTGTAAATATCCAATACCGGCATTAAAATTACAGCATTACTAACAATGTTTGTTTTTTCAGTATCGTCTATTTAGTAATTTATATTTTTCTTTTAATCATCATTATATATATATATATATATATATATATATATATATATATATATATATATATATAAATTTCTATGAAGAGGGGGTCCAAGTTTTCTTTCATGTTTTTTTTATAAATAGTAATGTAGTAGTTACTTTTCCTGTTTAATAGTTACTTTTCTGATGTTGTAGCTCAGTAACTTTTTTGAAATAACTAGTAACTTTAACTATACTTGCCTAACACTGCCAACAACAGTAAATGTAGCACGGGAACACCCAGGGGTCTGGTCCAGCGTGGACTAGTTGTTAGCTCTTCGATCATGCATCTTCAAACAGAGACATTCCTGTTAAGGAAGATATCTATAATGGGTCCGATAGTAATTATTTATAACCTTTACCCATGTATGGACTTCAGATTTACTAAAGAACACTTTGATTTTTCTCTCAGTATCGTTGCTTAGCTTTAATTCTTTGTTTCTGTTTATGCTCGAAATATCACATTAATCAGGAGACACAGTAGAGTTTTAACATATTTGCATCCTACAGACTTTATAGTCCTGAGAAAGTGAGAGAAATGTTCTGTTTAACTGTTCGTGTTGATGCTCAGTGGCTCAGAAAGTGGACCTTATCAGTGAGAGCGGTGCCACGACCTTGTCTGCTGCTGTTTGAGGTCAACTGCCTGGCTGCCTGGCCCCGAATCAGGGATGCAAATCATGTCATTCACTACTATTATTGTCTGCACGGGTAATTATGTTGACATGCTGCTTCTCCGCTTCGTCCAAATGAGAAAAGGGTCATAACTCCTGGTTATAGTTTGGATCAGAGCCAACTGAAAGTAAATATGGAGAAAACTCCATTTCCAATCAGAATCTGGTCTGTTAACATCACAGTGTGAGCATAGCTTAGCAGAGAGTGTAAGGATTATAAACACCATGTATGATGCAGAAAACCCATCACCTCTCAGCAAGGAGCTCATCTGGAGCTTAGACCTTTTGCTGAGCTGGGACTTCTTTTCCTCACCTTTCTCCTTCGTTCCTCTCCTTTCCCAGCAGAGACTCAATCATCTTCCTTGTTCCTGTGATCACCTCCCCCTTCCTTCTCCTTTACTCCCCCTCTTTGTCACATGTTCCCCTTGTCATTGTCTCCTCTCCTCATATGCCCTGCCATCTTTGTCCATATTTCTCGCATATAACTTCTTTACCGCTTCAGAATTTGAGTCTATTTCCCAGAAAGCTGATAACAGAGACAAATAATGGCATTTTTAGCTCTGAATCCTTCCTGATTTACTCATTTACTTTCTTGTGATTTCACCAGGAATTTGTTTACCCTAGCAGACTGGACCAGTTTTAGTGATTATTAGTCAATGCGTTTGAAGACACCTATCAGTATTTTGGCCATGAACTCTGAATTCACATTTATTTAAATATTTCTCAAATACTATTTAGTCTCCTTCACAACCTGTTCTTGATGATTCAGTGTCTGGGAGCCCGTAGCGGCATCAGTTTGTTCATTATTATTTGATAATCCAGTCTCTGATGTCCAGTTTTAGATCCAGTGACTCATCCTTGTTTGTCTCCAGGTTTGTGACGATCTATCGTGGGCCCAGCCACACCTACAAAGTTCAGAGACTGATCGAGTCCAGCAGCTACAGCTTCAGAATACAGGCCATCAGTGACGCCGGGGAGGGCCCTTTTTCTGACGCGTACACTTTCAGCACCACCAAATCTGTTCCACCGGCCCTCAAAGGTAAACTGATCACCTTCCTCACCCAAATTCCTACGTATTTACCATGTGAATGTATATTTATCGTGCATGTTTTTTGTTATCTTCGGTGGATTAGAATCGTCATTCTTAAAGTTGGTCTTGAAGATTTCCAGATATTTAACCAAAATGTTCCCAATCCATTCCAATAGAGAGCCTAAGTCACGCCCATCTACTTCCGCACCATGGGTCCCCAGAAGAACGAAAAAATGAATGCAAGTCAAGGGGCTAAAAGCGCTATTTTCTAATTCCGCTTGTTTTGTGCCATAGATTTCACATATGATGTCCATGAATTTAAGATTTGCATTTTGATGCCAAGAAAGTGCTTATTTTCAAATTGGGGGGGGACGCTATTTTAGGTTTTGTGTGAAAATAAGTCCAGGACTGCAAATGCACTTTACGAAAGTGACGTCATCGAACCAGACACGGAGAAAAAGAGAGGGAAAATGGCTGCAAGTTCAGCTAACTTAAAATCCATTAAAACCACCACAAATCTGGCCATGTGGTAAGTAGCAGCTACGCTAGGGGAGAGGAGATTCTGTGGTGATGTCATATATGCTACGTGTTGTAGTCATGCTAATTACAAACTTTTACAAGCTGATAAATCTCAAAGTACGTGACAGACATGGTCGAAGCACCCATCATTAGTTTTCATTTAAATTGCAGTACAACATATGTGAGATCCAGGGTCGAAGACAAAGCGAACTAGTAAATAGGCCACTTAGCCCCGTTGACTTGCATTCATTTTTTTGTTCTTCCGGGGAACCATGAGCCGACCAGAAAGGGAGGAGACTTATGCTCTCTATGCAATTTCTTAATAAAGGGATATTCAGGTCTTTTAAAACGTGTTTTTGTATAAATGTTATAAATAATTAATATCCTACCTTCCCCTTGCCCTCAAGAGGAATGGAGTTTACATGACATTACAGCAGCAATGGCCAAAGTGCATCTCAATCTGAATTCAAATCTCCGAAAGATGACGACTGAACTGAGATTAGCTGCTAGCTCATTAGTCCTGTTGGACATATATAAATATATTTCTTGAAACCATTTACAGTTGAAACTGAAACAATATACAGTTAATTTAATATAACATTTAATTCAAATGCATTGGGTTCCTGAGCCTTTCTAGTGTCTCTAACATGAATTGCTGAAATAAATGGATTTAAGCATCATATTCTCTAGGGATGTCGGAAAATATCGATATGACAATATATCGCAATATGTTCCCTGTGATATTATATCGATATTCACAAGCCGTGTATCGAATTTTTGGAAGAATTTACAGGCAAAAATTTGTGTATTTTCTTTTCTTTTGGTGCATTTCAAATGCCAACCGCTAGTTGGCAGCAGAGTGCAATAGGTTTTGTTTCCACCACTGAAACGTAAATCCCTTTATCATGGTTCAGATACCTCGTGTTGTTACAAATCAGTTTTGACTGTTAATTGAATTTTCCTACAATAACTTTAGTCTAAAACATCGCTTATATCGTCTGGCTGAATGTATTGCAATATATCTTGATGTATCATGTTGTCTCCCCTGCATCGTATCGTATCGCCAGAATTTCACCAACACACATCCCTAATATTCTCATTTTCAACTTTATAAAGCAGCTGAGAATCTCACAGAAATTGTAAACAGGCAGTTACCTGGTATGAAAGTGGATAAAAATGCAATTTTTTGTTTCCAACAGCACCAAGAGTTCAACAGTTGGAAGGAAACGTTTGCGAGGTCACATGGGAGACTATCCCACCAATGAGAGGAGATCCTGTGAGCTACGTAGTCCAACTGCTAGTTGGACGCGAGTCTGAATACAAACAGGTGTGTTTCTCACACAGAAACACAACCACACACAACAAAAAGTTCAACCTTGTAGAATGGTTCAAAAATCACCCTTGGGGGGAAACAAATATAATTCAGCTTACGGGAAATATAGGATTGGTGGTAGTTTCATTGGTTTGGGACATTTGTTTCTCCGTAAAAGCTCAAACTCAGAAGTAAAAGCAAACAAACACATAACATTCAAACCATTTCTAGGGTGTTAAAGCCTGATTATTTTCACTTTTACTGATGATAAACTAACAGTTCAATCTAAATCACCCTCAGGTTTTCAGAGGAGAAGAGGGCTCATTCCAGATCTCTGGTCTACAAGGAAACACAGACTATCGTTTCCGCGTCGGCGCCTGCCGCCGATGCCGGGACACGTGCCAGGAGCTGAACGGCCCGTTGAGCCCCTCCTCCTTCTTCACGCTACGTCGCCAGGAGTTGGCATCGTCGGGGGAGCAGTGTGCTCTGGAAATGAGCAAAGGGGCGGGCCTGATCTCAAGCGATGAGCGCTTTGCGGCGCTCATCGTCTTCATGTTCGCGGGTCTCTCTATCCTCATTGCCTGCTTGCTACAGTACTTCTTTATGAAGTGAGGGAATTTTAACAATAGGATAGAAAGGAAAGTGAAATCACAAAAACACACACACAAAAGAACTTACAAATAAACATCTATGAAAGAACCGAATGAAATCAAAACAAACACTTGAGATGTACTTTTAAAGGCTATGTATGTTTTTTTAGTGAAAGTATCGATTCAGGCTTTCTTTTGTCCTCATCATGTCTCGTTTCATTCTTTCCCTCTGTGTTGGCATCATTGTGTCACTTAAGGATTTTTGTGGAGGGAAGCCAGGTCTCGGTTGTACCTCGTTTTGGGAATGAAAATTCATAATCAAGCCTTAAAATAAGTGAGCAAACCTCTTGCTCCTTAGACTGACTTGCATGTTTTTATTTAGTATGTCTCTAAAGCATATTCAGTAGAAAACCTTTATATTTTTTGGCAGTCAGTGCCTTACTTTATTTTTCGTTTCAGTGTTTAATTGGTTGTTTTTTCATTATTTTAATTTAATTTTTCATTTTTCGCTGTACTCGTTCAGCCGTATTCAAATGTAGGCCTTTGAAAACCTTTAGCTCGTTCCTACTTATTGAATCGTAACTTTACGGGCTGTTTGTTAAATCCTACAACCCTCTCCTTTTTTCTCTCGTGCAGACAGACCTCTCTACATAATCATTCATTCAATAAGTCATAATATTGCAATGACAATGAGAAAAAGACACACACGACCATACCTGCTCTGCTTTTGCTGTTCAACCGCTCACTCAGCTACCAAAGTGATGCAATCCACGTGTGTAAGATGCTGCTATCCTGTAACTTCATTGTATCTGAGAGAGAAAGGAAACTGGTTAATATAAATAATAGCAAAATATAATTATGTGACGTAATGAAAATGATGGCAAGGTAAAGTCTGACATGCAAAGTAAAGGAATGGACCATGTGCTCTGGATCTGGATCAGAATCCACGAATAGGCTGGGATTGGAGTTTTGGGCCCGTTTTGTATTCTTCCTTCTGCTATGGTCCATTTAAATGGAGCTCCATTAGCGAAATGAGGTTCTAACAACCTGCAAGTGCCCTTCATAGAGCTGTGTGTGCTGTTAACAGGGAAAGTCATTTGAAGTTTGCTTATGCTTCCCCCGTTTCTTAAAACGTAACGTCCAGCCAGAGCAGTGCAGAAGCTGTTCCTCCTCGCAATCGATAGATCTGAAGACTCTTCCCCTCTCCATCTGCCGCCCATAACTATCTCCAATTACCTTTTTTTTCTTCTCTGGCTGCTTTTCTCCCATCTTTTCTTCTCCTCCAATAATCGTCGTTCCACTTCTCTGTATTTAAAAAAAAGGTGCTTTTATTGACACGGAATCAGAGCGACAGAGTCCCTTCTCAGACAAGCGTGATCACTGAAGACTTGGACTAATCTTCGCTAACCAAACCGAGTAATCGACAGGACACATCTTAACGGAACAGGACATTCTGACACGCAAAAACACCTTTCGACCTCCTGTCTGAGCCTTTGTACCCCCACCCTTTTTTCCCCACCCTAACCTGCACAACAAAGCCAAGGTACAACCTATTTCAGACCACGGTAATCCAAAGAAGTCGCCCCGGCCAGCATTAATAATGTCAGTCAGGTGGGGCGTGATGGCAGAGGGTTTAGATGGGAGGAAGAGGTCGGCTCTAATGGCAGCCTGTAATGTACCTCAGGGATAAGGCCTTACGGAAGAGGGGTGGGGAGTCTTACCCTGTCATCCTTTTATCATTTTTAATTTCTTCTTCTTTCTCATCCTGTTTTTTTACCCTTTCCTTTTTGACTCTTTGATGCTGTTTCCCGCCATCTGTTCTGCTGTGCCTTGCTCCGGTGTCAGTAAGCAAAGCATTTTTACGAGTTCAAAAAAAGAAAAAAAGAAAAAAAAGAAACCCTTTGCCAAAGTCGATGGGAGAGTTACGGTAGAGTTCTTTTTCTAGGTTTTATTTATACTATATATTTGCATACAGTACTTTACATGCCAATTACAGTGCAATCTTCATTTATTTATTGTTTAAAGATTAAGAGGCAAGTATAGTTATATACTAATTTTTCTTGTAGCATGTTTTATTTTCTTTAATTTTTTTTAATGGATGTATGTTAAATTGTATGATTAAGGCCAGCATTCCTTATCTTAGTAACCCTTTAAGTATTTCTCTTACAGCTGTTGGGAACCTTAAGCTCATCAGTCCATGCATCGCAGACAAACATGTAACCAAATGTATTTAGTTGTTTCATCTCCTGTTTTCGGCCACAGCACAGGCGAGCGGTTCTTGCAACACTTAGAGAGATGCAGCAAGCCGGACCTTAGGGTCACTTCAAGTTCCTCTGTACTGGGATAAACGTTTATGCCTTTAAATGCTCTTTTTTTTCTTGAATAGTGTTATAATGAAGCTTCTGGTATCTTATTTTACTGTTTAATGCCAAAGTGCAGGCTTTTCGTGTCCTCTAGATGTTTGCTACATGTCTAAAGGGTCCTGTGATACTTAGTTTTTTTCTGTAACATCATTACGAATATTATGTCATTATTACTCAGAAAAAAAGAAAAGGACATTAACTTGATCTGTGATTATGTTTCTTTTCATATTATCTGTTGTTATTTTGTTTTGTAAAGCAAAAAATAGAAAAAAAGTGCCATTTTTTTATACAAAAATAAAGTGTACCCCGGTTTTTTTAGAGACAAACACTGAAAGAAGGCAAAAACAATCACGTAGATGATTTCTAAACAGACAATAATAGTTTCCTTTTCAGGATTTAGCAGTTTTTTCCCTTTATTTTGTCCAGTGTTTAGCTAGATTTGCTAAGAGATGATATACAGAGATTTCTATAGAGCTATAGAATAATTGACTTTACGACTAACAGAGTTGAAGCACTTTTGTTTTCATGCCGAGCATCAGACGTGATGAGGTTATGAGTGGGAGAAGAAAAATCCTTTGCTCTATTTTGAACACTACTGCCAACATGTTCTGCTATGTTCATTGGCATTACCTATGGATGCCTCACTGTGACATTGGCATTACTGGAGCGTGGTTCTACTCAAACACCTCACTCTCTGCTGATCTCCAGCACCAGAGGAGGGAACACTTGATTGTGGGACAGTGCCTTTGCCAAGTGTGCTTGTTGTGTGTCTATCTAGTGTGTTGCATTGTAATTGACCAGTGACATGTGACTTTTTCCCATCTTCTTGTTGCCCTTCTTCCTCCCCTTTACGAGCCTTAATGCCTAAATGTGAGAGCAGAGGTTCGTTTGTCGTCATCAGGCCAGTCATGTTTAGTGTTGAACAATCTGATGTTAACTGAGAGGTTTTAGGCTGGGTACTTCCTTTATGTGTTTTATTTTATTTCTTTTTACAAAATCTCCCCAATCATCCACCCTCCATGCCCTGCACATTTAGTGGCTATGTCGAGAAAAAGTGATGTTTTAGCCCAGCAACCCTCTCCCCCACGCCCGTGCCTTCTGATCAGTTTTTTTTAAATGTACATTTTACAATAAAATAGAGATTTTGACAAAGAGATTGGCGATTTAAGAAGAGACTCACAGCTATTTAAGTACTTTGTAAGCAAGACAAATAAAAAAAGTAGAAAGATCTTTTTACCTCATGATTTCAAAACGAACATTCCAATGTTGTCATAGTCTACAATTTGGGGAAGAAAAAAAAAGAAATTTGTGTATTTCTTTTTTTTCTTGTGTTGTAAATGTTAGACAATTTCATATGCATTATATAAAAGAAACTGCCATATCAATTTTAATGTATAGATTTTTGAAAATACTACCCTGTGTATGTAAGACGTAACTGTATCGGTAGCGTATATATAATATATTTATGCCCAATAAATGTTTTAATTTTTTTCTGACTTGGATTGCTACTTACTTTTTAGTCATTACTCATCTCATCTCCTAAAGCTGCAATAGCAGATGTTTAATTTATTTATTTTTTGCCACATTTGACATTTATTCAGTTTCATCATCAAGTTTTATTAATAGAATGAGACTCTTGCAGCAGGAAACTGAATAATCTATGTTTTGAAAAGGAGCAATCACAGCTGATTGAAATTTGTTAACGTTAAGGGATGCTAAGTAAATGTCTTTATGAGAAGGTGTCCTCTACAGCTGTGGCCAAAATCTTGGACAATGACAGAAATATGGTCAAAGATTGCTGCCTCTGGTTTTAATGACATTTTGCATACACTCCTGAGTGTTTGACAAGTGGTCAAAATGATCCCTTTTTGCCATGAAAAGGAACTTTTATACCCATAACTCAAATTTCACTGCATTTGTGACAAATTTTCAGTGTCTAAGACACTCCAAAAAGTCACCCTGTAGTATGGACACACCACCAGTCTAGAGTTTACTCAGGAGAAAATGGAGAGGAAATGTCTGAAGCCACTTCTCTCCAAGAAAACCCTCAGGGTCATACTCGTATTCTATTTAAAGGGAACATATTATGCAAAACTCACCTTTTGCATCCTTTTGTGCTGCCATGTGGGTCTCTACTGCTTCTAGTCACAAAAATAATCTTGTCTAACAGTTTGGAATTATGCGCCTAAAGTGCACACTGCACTGTGTTTTATGGCTGTCACAAAGGATTGCATCATGTTATACTATGAGGACTCACTGTATGGCCCAAGATTTTAGTTAGCCAAACTGTATGACGTGTCACTCTAGCAGGACAAGCTAACATAATGAGCAATGGCCGAAAAGCAAGTGTCACTAAAAGCCGACAGATATTCAAGGCAACAGCAATGAAAAGAAAAAAGCGCCACGATTAACCCTTCTTTTGTTAGACTCCAAATCAAATGCCAAAAGGAAGTGATCCACGTGTTCTTGCTAATGTTGCTAATGCTACTCTCCAGAAGTGTGGACTCGAGTCACATGGCTTGATTATTTCAATGACTTCTGACTTGACTATGTAAAATCTATAAAGACTTATGACTTGTCTCAGACTTGAACGCCAATGACTTGCGACTAGAATCGACTTGCATCTGTTGACTTGATGATGACCTGAGCATATTTGATATTTTAGCACAAAAGTGGCACGACATGGACAAAAATCATAAATCATTCTTGGTTCTGGGTTTGATCTTGTACTGCTAAATGCAGCAGCACTTTGTATATCTGCTGGTTTGACTTTAAGAAGCTTTATTTCTGGAATTTATTATCATTGTCATTAAATAGAAGTTTGACAGACGACTTGATTATGACTTGAAAATTCAAAGTTAAGGACTTGGACTTGACTTGGACTTCCACATCACTGACTTTGGACTCACCTTGGACTTGGTTGTCTTTGACTTGGACTTGACTCGAGACTTGACTGAAAAGACTTGTGACTTGCAAATCAGTGACTTGGTCACACCTCTGCTACTCTCACATTGCACTCTCCTCTAGTTTTGTAGATATTTGTACATTTTCATACACTGCTTGATGACTGTTGGAGGCTGAATTTGGTTGTGATGGTGCTCAATAAGCTGTCGATGAGTCGGTCACTCTCAATTGATACAGACCTGCAAATCACCCTCACAGTCATTGTATTTTGTCACAGTTCTGTTCATTATGAGGGATTTGTCAAGGATGGCCAAAAAATGCTAATTTTGTCCCGGGATTTAGACTAACCGAATTTGTGATGTCACACAGACATCATGGGCTCCGATCATCCACCAAGAGGAACTCCTCCAATCATACAAGAACAGCTTGGTCTTTAGAAATTCAGTTTCCAGCTGTATGAGGCCTCATGCGATAAAGGTTGATAAAGAGGCTTAGGGGAAAAAAACTTACACCAGATCTTAACCCTGAACTTGAATCACAGAAGGTGAGTTGACAAAGAAGCAAACACTGAAATTCTGATGAACTCAAGCATTATTTATATAAAATGGCCTGCCATCAGTGTTATGACCCAAGGCCATTTGGGGTTTTCCCTGAGTGTGTGAGAGGAGATGCAGCACCTGTCTCCCATCTCACTAGAATGCCTCCCAGTTAGACTCACTCAGCTGTTCCTGATGATCAGCTGTGTCAGCCCTCAGTTCAGGGAGCAGCTGAACCTCTCTGGTCTATTGTCTCCTCAGCAGCATTTGGTTTTGTTAAATTAAGTTTTATGTAACAACTTTGGTGGGCGCTTAGAAAAACTCTCTGTGTTGCTTTGCTTTAAATGGTAAATGGCCTGTATTTGATATAGCGCCTTCTAGAGTCCTAGAACCCCCTAAGGCGCTTTACAACACAATCAGTCATTCACCCATTCACACACACACACACACTGGTGGGGATGAGCTACAATGTAGCCACAGCTGCCCTGGGGCGCACTGACAGAGGCGAGGCTGCCAAGCACTGGCGCCACCAGTCCGTCCGACCACCACCAGCAGGCAACGTGGGTTAAGTGTCTTGCCCAAGGACACAACGACAGTGACAGACTGAGCGGGACTCGAACCAGCAACCTTCCGATTACGGGGCGAGCATTTAATTCCTGTGCCACCATCGCCTTAAATAAGACATCACTCGGTTAAGGAAGTTGTGTGATGGTCTTTTGAAGTTTTAGTATTGATTTGGTCAATGAGAGAGTTTAGTTGTTGTTACTAGTTTTGATAATCTGTGTTTTGTTATATTTATCTAAATAAATGTTGTTGTGCTAATTTTAACACGAGAACATGCGTCCTCAGTTGTTTCCCCTGGCCCCCTAGATAGCCTGGATCTTAACAATCAGTCAAGTTGGTCCAAACGCTGACTGACAGCATGTCGGGGTGAATTTGCGGTTTTGGAATAAACAATACAATAAAACAATTTGTGTAAACTTCATTTAACCCTTAGGAACACAAACCCTTTCTAAATGGATGACAGATTGAAATTAATACATCAAATTATAGAAAAAATAAAGAAGTAAAATACTTTGATATATGTATAGACAGAATGTTACTTGCGGTTGTCAAACTTGAATACCGTAAATCCTCTAATACAGGCCTGGGCCTGTATTTGACTCAAGCTCATCAAGCTCCAGGCCTTTATTGGAAGGAGGACCAGAATTAGAGGCAGGCCTTTATTTCTATTTGAGCAAAATGAGCTAATGGTTCGCTGAAGTTTTTGACAATTAAAATTGTGCCCACATTTTCAAGGTTAAACACATTTCTTTTAACAACGGTAGTTTCTGCTTCAGCCCTCTCCCCCCTCCCCCTGCGCAGTGGCCGCAAACTCTGATGCGCCTGCAGCATCTCAGAGTTCCTGCTGCTCTAAACATTAAAATGATTACTTCATTTTCTGTTCCGCACTTCTGATTACCTTCAATGGTGTCTGTTTGTTGCAACCACCAGGTACAAAAACTAACTTGTTTTTATTTGACTATTTTTCTGTCCCGCCTGTTTATTATCTTCCTGCATCTCCTCTCAATCCTAAAGAGAAACTGCTACCTGGGTTCATATATATTCACCTTATGAGTTACCTTTGAACTGCAGTTCTAAAAGATCTACCGACCGCAAAAACAGCAGAGTGCTCCCGGCCACATTAGTTAGGTGCGTCACCGAGGACAAAACGGGTGATGCGCCCTGATCCACAGCAGCGAAACGCATCAGGCACAAATAAAAGACAGAAAACATAAAAGGAAATGAGCCGACATGAACGATCGCGTGTTAAATTAGTTTTCGAGGTGGCGACACCTGATTTGATAATGTTACTGTGGCCGTGCTCAGGACGCAGATGTCTGGAGCGCGTCAACAATCTGAGCTTTGCATGCGCAAGCTGGTTAAGGTTAGGATGGGGGTGAGGGGAATGTTAAATTGCAAGAGGGTAAACATCACAATTAGGTTAAATGTCCGTTTTATGGCGGGTGTCAGTACCGACGCTCTGGCACAGCACGTTGCCTCCCGACGCGCAGGAGCTTGTCACCTGCTGACAGCAGGCTGCTGTCTTTTCCGTGGACTGCATCTTGCCGGTCATTATCACGTGACAGTGACTAGTCGATGACAGGCATAAAAAGTCACTATAGAGCGGTGAAGTCGACTAGTGACTAGTTCATACAACCCCTGCTACTGCTCCCCAGAGTGTTCTGCAGCATAATCAGCACGTTCTCTTTGAACTTGATGTCAAATTTTCGCCTCCTCTTCGTCTCCGCACGGTTAAAGTTACCCTCGCGGTCTATCACTGGCAAATCAAAAGTGAGACGGATGACTCAACCGCCCCCCGTACTTGCTTGTTACCACATTCCACCCGGCCACAGTAAAAAACCGGCCATTATTTACCTCTGCCGACTCCGACACCGGCCAAAGTATGACACCCGGCAGTTAATTAAATACAGGCTAATATTAGAGGATTTACGGTATATGACTAAGCAATTTTGCAGAAGCTTGAAATGGGCTGTGACACCAGTGTCACCATGGGTCCTTAAAGGTTAATTGTCAATTTAAAAAAACAACAACTTTGAAGCCTTAAAAGCCTCAAAACTTGAGTTACTCTGAAGACTGTTGGTCACAACAGCCTTATGGAGTTAAGCTGGATGGACAGAAGCAAGAAGACTAATCATTACTCTGCTGTCCCCAAGAACATCCGAGTCACTGCAGCAGTATACGCTCAATTTCCTTTAACCTGATGCAACATAAAAGCCCAACAAGTATTCCTTAGACCCCATCATGTGGTTAATATTCCAACTTTGTTTAGAAGAGTCAAAGTGAAAAAAGAGTGAAAAAGAAGAAGGTTCTTCTGCTTCCATCTGGAATCTTCTTTTTTCTTTTTTCTTTAAGCTAAAGAGACAACAAAAGCCTCGTTGATGAGAAAGTAGCCTGTAAAAAGTCACTATGTCATAAATCTAATCTCCTAGAGACAATCAAGCTTTATGATCCAGAACGTTCGGAGTGGAAAACACCTTTCTGGACAGTACAGATACAAGCTCTGCAAAAAAAAAAAAAAAAAAAAGTAATTTCATAAGGTCCACGGACACATGAGACCAGAGTGTCCCCATACCAGAATGATTTTCTGATAGTAAAACCAGTCTGATCACTGGCTGATCACATATGTGACGGTTTCTGCAATATGAATCTGTAGGAAGTGAAATAGTTGATGGAATAAAAAATAAACTCACACCTTAATGAATGATTTTCACCTTTCTTTAGACATAAGCCATCTAGGTTAAATTTTACTAAGATTTTTTAATGACAATTTGTTGGAATTTGATCAGAGCTTTGTGACATGGTTCGTCATCCTGCTGGATCATCAGAAGATGGTTTCATGTTTTAGCTCGGCTCACCAAAAGGAGATCATTCTTTTGGTTTTTGAAGATCGCAGCGCCACACTTCTCTCTTCCACGGTGACTTTCATATTTAGGCTAAGGGTTAATCACTCCACATCTATTTATTTAACTTATATGTGATGTGACAGTCAGCTGTTTTCCCCTACAGGTGGGACCAATCCAGCCCACTTCCGGATAAGGAATTAGGATTTCTTTTCAGGTTTTGGATTGATTGTGATTACAGAATATCTCACCGGAAAAGACTCAGAACATTGATTTTTTTTTTTTGTGAAAAGATGCATTTAAATTTTTTAAACTTAAAATAAACCAGGAGAAAATTAGTCTGTTAACATTCAAGTGTGGAATTTCAGCTGCAACTTTCTACAGTAAAAATTCAAAAACAAAAGAGGTGACCTCCTGGTGACCCAAGCCAAAACGATCTTCACACCGAGAGGTGTCGACTTGATCTAGGGACAATTGCTTTGGCTGTGGTCACCAGGAGGCCACCTCATTTCCTGTTGAATTTCTGATTTTGAAATGCTGTTGTTGGAAGTTTTGAAGATGAAATTCAGTGTTTGCATTTTTACGAGGGACATGTTTGCTGGTGTATTTAAGGTAAAAAATGTTCAAATGCATAATTTAACAGAATAAAAGTTAAATGTCTAAAAATGTCATACTCTGGTTTCCTAGTGAAGGTATTTTAGTCACTGACTGAGCTTCATTCTGGTCACCAAGTCTGACCTGTTCTAGTTGCCTCCTCTATAAGACCTTATTGGCCAAACCTGACAACCACTCAATCATCATCACACTGCTTCAGCTTATCTGGTTTCCTCATTTCCATCAGACATCTCTACCTCACCTTCTCCTCTGTAGAAACCTGTAAGACAAACTCCCACAGACCTTACCTGCTCCTATCTCCAAGGTGCATACGTTCATCTTCACAGAAACCCTTGTGACAAGATGCATGCGCACTCTGCACCAGTGGTTTCAGACATAAACAAAGAGCTGAGTCAGTAGCAGCAGCAAAGGCATCTTCCTCTGGATGACACAAAATCATCAGAAATGTGGATCTAGATCTATGTCAGTTAACTTATTTTGACTTGCTGGAAAAAAGCCTTATTCTATCTTATTTTAAAAAAATCATTATTTACTGTTTCTTTCTAGATCTACCCAAATCCTGCTATTCAACTAGTCTAAAAGAATGTTGAGGAGAATTGAGGAACTGGGAGAATCCAGACATTTTCTGTCCTTTTTTTAAATAAGAAGATGATCTCAGTTATTCAAAAGAAAACGTTGTAAAAACAGATTCAAAAGGGAGATTTTTTTAAGGCCAGCGTGGGAAAATCTTCATAAAATATCTGACAGTGACTTGAAATATTCCCTATGTTTGTTTGCTATTTGCATGTTTATTATATTTATGGAAGTGGACAGAGGTGTGACCAAGTCACTGAATTGCAAGTCATAAGTCTTACCAGTCAAGTCCAAGTCAAGTCCTAAGTCTTCTTCCGGCACTCTCAGAGTACAGACGCTTCTGCTTTTGCTCCCTTATCTTTTTTTCCCTTTGTCCTGTCTGCCCACAGAGCGCTTCTCTGCATTTCTTCTGAAAAACCCTATTTTTTAGAATGGATTTAATTAATTGGTCATTCAACGCGATTGACAAGATTTTTTCTACGATGAGAACGGAGGAGGGGGCTCCCACTTGCCCGCAAGGGACACACCCGGCGGGATATATGCTCGATTCCTGGAGGGAGTGGAAGATCGTATGCCTCTCTCAGCTGTCCATTGAGGACGTCGAAGATGTGTGGATATTTGGCCTGATGATCACTGGATTTCTTCTGATTGGAGTGGGAGGATATCTGGTTTTCTGGAAAATTGGGAAGACGGGAGCGAGTGGAGGGCGACTCGCACCCACGGAAAGCACCGTCCGTGTGGAGACCTCACAGACTGGGACGTTACTCGAGGGGAATCGTAAGCTGGACAAGCTGCGTTACCGGTATTAGTGCGCAAAATGGATGTCATCTGGGCGAGGGTCACTGGACGGTGTGGAGATGTTTAAAACAACAACAAACCCCCACGAAGGAATGCAGACGGATGCTGTGAAAACCCGACCCCCCCCCCCCCGGATTGGTGGACTTCAGCCTGGCAAGGTCATCAACCTGCAGGTGTCAATGTGCTATGCGCTCCTCCCACGATCTCCATCCCACCTGTGGCAACAGTGGCTGAGCGCCATACAGGGCTGCTCTCGCTGGGGAAACAGGATCCCACCTTCATCTCGGTGTCTCACGTTGTGAATTGTTGATGTTCGTGCTTATATGTTTGAGGCATTTTTTTTTTTTTGCATAGTAAAGCTACACCCTGCCGGAAGTAACTCTGGTATGCCTTTTTTTTCTCCCCCAATTTATCCTCATGTAATCCCCTTTTCATCTAATTGAAATGAGCACGTTATGGCTGCTCTCGTGGTCTGCCTGTATCTGTTCTGTCTACATGTGTGTGTGTAACCTTGGTCAGGCTGTGCTGCGGAGTCAAATTCCTATGCTCTGGTTCGCTGGAGCACTGGCAATAAAGCTTTTACTGATTTCTGATTCTGAAGTCAATGATGTGGAAGTCCAAGTCAAGTCCAAGTGCTTAACCTTGAATTTTCAAGTTATAATCAAGTCATCTGTCCAAATTCAATTTAATGACAACGATGATAAATTCCAGAAATAAAGCTTCTTAAAATTTCATTTATTTGTCCAAACAAGCAGAAAGTGCAACTGAAACGGATTATAAACAAAGTGCTGCTGCATTTAGTAGAACATCAAGCCCAGATTTTTGTCCATGTCATGCCACTTTTGTGCTAAAATATCAAATATGCTCAAGTCATCATCAGGTCAACAGATGCAAGTCAGTTCAAGTTGCAAGTCATTCGCGTTCAAGTCCGAGTCAAGTTTTAATTCTTTATAGATTTTATCAAGTCAAGTCAGAAGTCATTAAAAATAATGACTCGAGTCTAAGTCATGTGACTCAAGTCCACACCTCTGGAAGGGAAAACACACAAACATGCACATGCAAAAGAAATTAGTTTAGCTTTTTCATTTTTCACAACCCAGCAGATAAAATATAATTATTTATTCTCTTTTTTATATACATTAGGTGGAGAAATGAGTAGCATGTCCTGACATCTGGAAATAAATTTCACACATTTTTTTAATCATACTCAGTCTAGTACAGATGAATGATTTAAATGTGCTTCACAAAACCGCTATTTACAAATGAAAGTAACATTATTAATATATTGGTCCATAATTCTTAAGTCCAAGAGACAAAGCAACATGACACAAAGCATGTTCTGATGGACTTTACATAAAAGTTTCAGAAGTTTTATAAATTACACACTCAGAGAAGGGATTCAAAGGCATTCTTGTTCAACGTTGCTGGGACATTTGGTAAAAGTTAGGCACATTTACACCTTCTGGGATGTCAGCGTATAAGCATGTAAAATAAAATAAAAAAAGCCTGTTTTGGTTTTAAAAGAGGAAGAAATAATCAGTGTGTTCACTTTTGGACCAAAAAAACCCCCAAATTAGAAAACAAACGAAGGCTGCTATAATAGTAAAAAATGGTTATAAGTGAATCATGTTGCATAATATTGAAATTAATATTAAATAAAGGATAAATAGAATCTGCATTTTCCTCATTTGTAATGGAGTAAGGTTGCAGGATGCTGGATTCAAACTAACTGATGAAAATTCAACAATATTCAGGCTTTCATGAACCCAACCATTATGCAAAGTAAAGCTGTTTCACAAAGCTGTTATTTTTCTGTTACTTCTAGTAACGTTGCACAGTTGGAGTGGTTTTTGTTTAAATAATGATATAAAAATGGTATAAAACGATGAAACACATTTCCCATTTTTGTCCTAAGAACACATTTTAATATTCATTACACTAAACGTAGTGATAGGAAATAATTCAAATGTAGCTTCATTGCAAATCATCACAAATCTGTTGCATTAAAACACCAGAACTTTTTTTTAAATTCCAGACATCATTTAACAATCCCAGAGGCAGAACTTAACTCGTTCATTACTTATTTTGTAAATATTAAAGTACATCAGTCAGATTCTGCTGCAAACACACACACACACACGCACGCACACACACACACACGCACGCACGCACACACACACACACACACGCACGCACGCACGCACGCACGCACACACACACACACACACACACACACACACACACACACACACACACTGCATCCCTGCCCCTTCCCTGAAGGAGCTTAGAGACGCGTCACAAATTCTACAGTGCTTCCTTTGTCATCCAGATTACATAAGGCAGTTGTTTGTGTTGTTTATGTTCGGAATGCACGTGATGCGCGCTCCCGGGTTGCTATGGGGGTCGTCAAACGCTTCAGAAAGGTGATTAAATAGGTTTTACACTCACTTTTTACACATGTCTTGCTTTGTAAATGGAGCTGATTGTGTTGCATGAGCAGTGTGTGGCATTTGCTGAAATGCAACAATTTAAAAATTACAGTTCTGGCCCTCGGCTCCTGTTTTAAACCTATATTTTGGTGAAACTGTTGCTTCAGGTAAGACTTTTCAACTTTTCTTCTTCCTTTGAATCTTCATAAGCTCACTGTAGATTCAGTCCAGCCATTTGAGCCGTCTCCCTTCAGGGTGCTGGCTGTGCGGCACCGCGATGGCTGACTGTCTGCCAGACCAAAGAGACGCGCCGCTGCGCCCCGGTATTTCCAGGACATGGTGTTGTAGAGGATCGGGTTTATTGCAGCGCTTAGGTAGAAGAGAACTACAGAGACCAGACTACAGTACTCGGACAGGACGGAAAGAAGCGGAGACGGTGCGTCCAGGGAGCGGAACTGCAGGTAGCGACCCACGTGGAACGGTAACCAGCACAGGACGAAGGCCAGAACCACCACCACTAAGAGAGTTGGATGGGGAGAGGAGAAAAGAAAGAGAAAGTGGGATAAGACAGAATAAAAATAAACTTGGGATCGATATAAAATCAGAGACATTTGGTGCATTTTCCCCAAATTTACGCAATCTAACTTACCCAGCATCTTGATGGTCTGTCTGTTGCTTTTGTCCCTGTGAGACACACGGGAACTCACGTTGGTCTCCCTCTGTCTCTGCCACAACCGGCGGCCTATTAGGCTGTACAGCATTGTGAGACAGAACACTGGCATGAAGAAAAACACGGAGCTCAGCCACACCATGGCCCCCATCAGGCCAGACTGCACTGCGTAATGCGTCATTCTACACTCCCGGGTGTCACCAACATCCAAAAACAAGCCAGTTTCATTCATCCATCTCAGGTTGGTTGGGTCTACGTAGTCCCGCTCCACTCCCACCATGGCGAACACGGGACCAGCGCTCATAAGGGAAACAGTCCAAAGGACAAAAATCAGTGCGCGCACGCGTTTTTTGGTAACCAGGGCCTTTGCGCGCAACGGGAAGCAGACAGCCAGGTAGCGCTCCACTGACAGCGCTGTGATGTTCAGGATGGTGGAGTACGTGCACGACTCTGACACGAACTGGAAGAGTTTGCAGAGCGCGTCCCCGAAGCGCCACGGCCTGTAGCGCCACATGCGGTACAGGTCCAGAGGCATGCAGAGGAAAATCAGCAGGTCGGAGACCGCCATGCTACACAGGTACAGGTTCGTGGTGGTCCGCATGTCCCGGAACCTGCTGACCACCAGTATGGTCATCACATTTCCAGCCACTCCGACCAGAAACAGCAGCGTGCAGGCGACTGTGATCACCGTGAGGAGGGGGATGGAGTAGTAATTGAGTGGAGGCCCGGGGAGGTCAGTGATTTCTGTGGTGTTGTGGGTCTCCTCCCAGCTGCAGTTATGGGAGAGGCACTCCGAGTTATTGGGCCAAGAGGGCATGCTGCGATTATTCACGGGACCAGGCCTGCTCCTGATAGCGAAAGTCACCCCAAGTCAGATACTCCTCATGAGCCATGGCGCTGCGTCTTTCTCCGTTCATCACAGACATTGGGGATTACGCGTGCGTAAAACCAATGCCAGGTCCGTGTGTGATACAGGTGTTGTCTTTTAGGTGGAAGTCATTCGGTCCTTCTCTGACTCTGAGTCAAACACGAGTCAACTTTAAGTTATTTTACTATTTTCTGACATCATCTATCAAGAAGATGAGTTGCCGATGGCTAATAACGGTCAGTATTTGAAAGTTATGCATCAGTATCCAAAACGTGATGGCATTGTATTGCATAAAAATACTTTAGGAGGAAACCACACTAATCTGTTTTCTGTTTTTGTTAAACTTACAGATGCGCATTCTTCCATCTGGCTGTGAAAACAAACAACATGCGCAAAAGACCCAAAAGTGTCCTCATCACCTTGTTTCTGCTCGATACATCCAAAGCAGCGATTCTGTTGACGAGTTGCATCTGGTGGCAGGTGATGGTCAGACTCCAGATCCTGCGATGCTGTAGCAGCAGGAGCAACTATCCGGAGAAAGGTGCAAAAATCAGCCAAACACAAACGGATGAACAACAACCACCGTGATAACAAACACCACAGGGTGGAAAATAGATAGTTTTATAAAAGTCACAAAAACCAAGCAGGACCGACGCATTTTGAACATATTGAAGAAAAAATTTCAAAAGTTTTAAATTAAAAAATGTAAAAGAGAAAAATAAATCCGGCTTGACATTTGCTCGTCAGGATTTGGGGATGGTGCATAGTCTGTGTGTAGATCGTGATTCCCAGTGCGCAAAAACAGCAGGTGAAGTGGTACCGATCAAGGGAGGCGAAGGGTCTGCAGTGAGTCCCACGCTGCAGCGCCACCTACTGGAGGAGATGGGGAGTCAGGACGTGCACCAAATTCTGCAATTAACTGTTTTAATCCAGAATAGAGAAAAGAAAAGCGTGATCCCCTCCACATGTTTCCGCAAAAGTAACCAAAGTGTACACGTGACGTGCAGCTGACTCTGTTTTTTCCCTCCTCCCTGCTTAACACACTGTTCAGTCAACAGGTGATGTAATATTTATTTTTGTGCATTTGATCTCCCCCGTTTGCTTAAATGTTTGACTTTTTGTTTATTAGAGTCATTTAAAGAGGCACTTCATCAAAATAAGTCCATTATCTGATTGAACTTCAAATTCAAATCCGAGAATTATTCTCAATTTAAGGTAGTTTTATAATTACTAGGGATCAGTGCTAGTGCTGGTAGGTACAAGTTAACAAATGCCAATGCAGTTGCCTGACAGTGGCTTCACTGTAACTTGCCATTTCTGTTCACCTAATATTTTAGTTTTGTGATCATTTCTATTAATATATTTTATGTTTTTATCTACCTCACAGTCTTCTCCTGTTGAAAGTAGAAAATAAAACCTGTGTTCCAATTTATTGCATTTTTTTGTGTGTTACAAGTATTGGTAATCGGTATTGGCGAGTACTCACATCCAAGTATCGGTATCGTATTGGTTTGGGAAAAGTGGTATCGCTGCATCCCTAATAACTACAGCCACAAATAAGTGAATTGCATTATAATCAGACTGAAGCTCAGAATGTGTTGGAGGCACACATTATCCCTAAAGCTTGAATGAAATAAATCAGGTCAGGTTAAAACACAAGAATATCAAACAGATCACGTGAAATTACATTTATATTGAGTTTCTAATATGATTTTAAATTAAAGCTCATAATTAAAAAAATATACATTAATTCATATACTGAAATTTGAAATATTTATTTGTTTTGATTTTTAAAAGTAAAAATAGCCTTTTTTATATGACAGGAGTAGCTGTTCATGTTTATAGTTTCAAACATGTTTCAAAATGAGGTTTGGACCTCTGACAACATGACTTGTGTGGTTTCTAAATGACTAAATACATTTATTCTTTTTTAGGTTTAATTACTTTTTTGAAGCAGTAACCTCATTCAGGGCTAGTGTGAACGCAACAATCAGATTTGCAGCTGATTTAGTTTTAATTTCACTTCCTATGGCGTTTCCTCTAGTGAGAATAATGCTATCTCTGCCCTTTACTCTGTGTACCATTATGTTTATGACCACTGTGTGTTTGCATGTGTGTGTGTTCTCAGGAAACAAGGGGCGAGAAAGCAAGACAGCGGTAACTAAACCCAATGACTTAAGTAATGAACAGAACACCAGCAGGAGTCTCCTCAGGACAGCCGTGTTTTTCACAGAATCTTTTCATCACATTTGGTACGTAGCTTCCCGTCTTTGCTGATTTGTTGTGTGTATTTGTGTGTGTTTATTATGTATGCTTACTTTTATAGAAATAAACTACGTCAACGTTTATGGAACAGTGTGCCATTAAAACTGAGTTGAAGGCTGAGCTAATGGAAGCTCCACAACAACATGAATCACTATTTTCACAAACATAATGTTCAGGTTGGGCTGTTTCTGGTCACCAGGAAAGAATAATAGCACTGATACACACACTCTAATGAATACAAATTCTCAGTTCCTGTTCATTTGTGTCTAAAAAGATGTTTTTTTTCCCTTGTGTGATTGTTTAAATTAATGTAATTGCTGTTCATACATACAATCCTTCATTACTTCAGTGTTTCCTGGGCTCTGTAGATCTAATGACATATAAAAGATGGGTCATCTTTGGTGATTTTTATCTGAAGTGGGTTTTATAAGGTGTGGTGTACAGCAGGTTAAAGTCCTTCTCATCAGGATGTGTAAACATCTGATAGCGTGCTCATCCTGGGGGGGATTGCAGCAGTACGTAGCTTCATCCTCTAGATGGAGAAAGAGATCCTGAGGTTGAATGTGCAGCTCCCTTGCTGTGTGTGTGTGTGTGTGTGTGTGTGTGTGTGTGTGACTGACTGTTGTGCAATTTAGTTCTGAATTAAAATACTTTCACACAAAAATCTGCTGGCAAATTACCTCATCTGTCAACATCTTTTAGGACATTTCAATCTCTCGCCTTGTAATTTGAACAGTTCATCGCAAAATTTTTGTTGCTTTTTGCATATAAATGCATGTTTGACACACACACACACACACACACACACACACACACACACACACACACACACACACACACACACACACACACACACACACACACACACACACACACACACACACACACACAATGTGTGAAATGGTGAGAAAAGAGGCAGAAGCGGTGTGTGTTCTCCACCCAGGCGACTCCTCCCACCTCACCACAAGTCCAGTATTCTCTGCTGTCCAATCTCTGCTGCCTATGGAGGGGGATCTTTCCCTGTGATTGGCTCAGAGTTTTAGTGATCCCGCCCTTCCTGAGGAGTTGGGGAGAGTTCAGTTAGTTTTCTTTCTGAGTTGCAGAAAAGGGAGTGTGGAGAAGTGTGTGTTTTGGGGCTGTACAGTCCTTTGTCTGCACCGCACAGGCAGAGCGCGTGGATCTTGGTTTTGCTGTCTGTTTTAGGTAGACCAGGTGGACTGATCTGACAGATCAACATGTGGGCTGCAGGTCCACATAAAGAGCAGGTTGGTAATGCCTCTCTCACTTCGTGTTTGTGTGTGTGCTCTGATCTATTTGTGTCTATGAGCTGTTAGAGATACAAAGTGACACTCCTTCATTTTGGTGTAAATTGTATACCGTAAAATGTTTTAAAGTTTGCTGAAGTTGCTGCTAATAGATGAATCAACATAAATTATGTACTCAGAAAAATGAGGTGTGCTTATATTTATGTCCTTCCCAGTTGAGTGTTTAGATTTGAAATTAGATTTTGTTTCTTTACTAATAAAATATTCCAACAACTGTTGCAAAACACACAGGTGTGTGTGTGTGCGTGTGTGTGTGTGCGTGTGTGTGTGTGTGTGTGTGTGTGTGTGTGTGTGTGTGTGTGTGTGTGTATTTGCTTTGTGGGTCTATTGTTTTGGATCTTATGCCTTAAAGTTGGTTCCTGCAGCTGGAATACCTTTGGGAAGACTCGATATCTCAAATCTAGCCCCATCTCTCCTTTTCTTCCTCTGTTTAGGATACACACACACACACACACACACACACACACACACACACACACACACACACACACACACACACACACACACACACACACACACACACACACTGATGCAATAAGACTTTATTTTTGTTATTTCTGCGCACGTTAAAGAGCAGCCACCTCTCCTGCAGGGTCTAAATGTGTGCAGCTGCTGTAGGGTAGGGTTGAAGAGGCTTTGTCTGAGAATCCAGTGTTCTTTTGCATCAAATTACCTGTAGAAACTGGAAGGGTTTAACTTGATTTACTTTTATTATTGTGGCAGACAGGTTTATCTCTGTATAATTTGTTCCAAATGTTCCAGATTGGTTTTACGACCAAATATTTGTGAGTCTCTTTGGATTCTACATTAGAAAAAGTGTAGATCAACCTAGAAAGGGATTTAACTGGGTCTTTTCACGGGTCCTCTAAAGATTGGAAGTTTACATGTAAGATTCATTTGTCATTCAACAACATATTAACAGCATTTTAGAATGAAATGTGCTGCAAAGAACAGCCTGGCCTGCCAGACTCGCACTTTGTTTGATTCTGCACAGAATCGCTGTGCAAAATTAAACAGAGAATGAGTCTGGCAGGCCAGGCTAGCAAAGAACAGCCTCAAAACGTTAAAATAATAAATCAATTAATATCCTAAAGTTTAAAGTGTTGAAGGAAGCGTGGGGGACTCACAGCTGCTGTGAGCTATGTCTGGTTCTGCTGGTGTAAATGTCTCCTAGAGGATGGATGTTGATTGGCTCTTTTTTTGTCATCTTTACCATCTTGATGTTCAAGTTGTTTGCCTGCAACCAGCAGGAAGCTCCTCCACCCCATCCAATATACCCAATCATTGCTGGAGATGAAAACTGTAAAAGTACCTGCTAACTGACTAAAAAACACATTGATAGCTGCTAGGATATTCAGCAGAACAATCATATGAGTAGTGTGCACAAAAGGGGGCTCAGCACACACCCCTGAGGAACACCAGAATTGGTAACAATGGTGGAAGAGGAAATGGCACAGATCTGCCCAGTCAATAAGTCCAAAATCCAGCTGCATTTGTTGGTTTTGGCCCTGCCACAGCTATTTTATAAAAGAATGATTTCAAACAGAGCTGAAATCCAGAAATATCAATCTAAAAAACATTTGATAGGTGGGATACAGTCCTGTAGACTAGGGCTTCCATGACTAGTTGATTTAGAGTTGACTTGGCTGGTATCAAACATTTTGGTTGGCATAATTTTAATGGAATTCTTAAAAATTCACCTGAAACAAATCTAGTTTTCTCTCTTTTGGTCAGTCAAGTGTGACTCCAGCATTTGTGGATTGTAATTTTAAAGAAGTATTTATTATCCATTAATTATTTGATAGGATAAACAATAAAATAGTCATTAATGTCAGCTCTGCTGTCAATCACTTTTTGGGGTCAAAACACCAACAACAGTCATTGGTTAACCTTCCAATGGAACATGAAGCCAAGAGCAAAACAATGACACAAATAGCTTCAATGCCAGATAAACTCTTGTGTCTTGCACTATAAGCTCAAAATATGCTTTTAGCAGTTAAATCTGCATTTTAATGAATATCTGGGGATCAATTCAGGGCCTGCTAGTTTAGCAGTCCTCAATGGCATCCCAACCCCGACGTTTGGATTTGCTAACCATAAAAACTACTGCTTCGGGGGGATTTGAAATGTTATTTTGACCATCCTTTGGCCCTTATACCATTACTTTGAATATCTGATAAAAGAGCAGCATGGCACTAAGAGTCTCTGTTGTCCATCTTGGCTCAACCTTTAAATTTATTAGGCTGAGAGCACAAATTCTGTTTCTCTTCTTCATCTTTCTGCTTCAGCCATGAGTGATCTTTTTGGCCTGGTCACAGTTTAACATTTTTCTTAGGCTCCAACTTGACTGAGTCAGGTCTGGCAGACAGCAGTTCCCTCACTCCATCAGTACAATGATGCCTTGTCTTTCCACCAGTCTGAAAAAAGATGGCTGCTTTCTCTCTCTTTTCTCTGGCAGCCACTGTATGTCTTGCTTTCAGTGTGTCTCTCTGACCATCCCCTGTCCCCCCTATCCATGGTGTGAAGGATTAGATAATAGGCAGCTTTAGTGTGGGCAGAGAAAAAGAGGTGTCACAGACCTCTCTTATTTCTTCTTTCCCTCCCTCCTCCTTCTAGCTTCTCATTTTGTACCATCTGCGCCACGAGGAGCTTGGCACCACACAGTCTATAAATGTCCAATGACGTTTATGTTTATGGTGCCGTATTTAAGTGTGAGCATGTACGATTTTCTTTCTTGCAAAGACAATGCTCTGGCGTATTGCTCTAAACTGTTTTCACCTCTGTTTGCTTTCGTAAATGTCAAAGCATCACACATCCAGGAATATAGTCCACTGTTTTTTAGACGGGTAATCAGTGACAGTACCTCAGCTGATGCTGACACAGATGTTCAGTCATCCACCGCCAGTGTTCTTAACCCTTTGATGCATAATGGTCACTACAGTGGACAGGTACTCAAAATTGTTATTTATTTGTTTTTGCTATTAAGTACAGCTGTTGAAGACTTTATTTTATTTGAGCCCCTCCATTTGGACTTCAGTAAGCCAAGCCAACATATTTCATGCTCAGAATGCATGCTGTCCACTGAGGTGGACATGTAATAAACTATTTGTAAATTATAAAATTTTTCAAAAAATATTTGTTGAAATTTGTTTCATTCACACCTAAAGACGAATGAAAAAAATTGTTTAAAAAATCATGGTTGAAGATTTCATAATTCATGCATCAAAGGGTTAATATTTTACACTTTAAATGGGCACTGCAAAGCAAATCAGGTGTTGAAATCCAAACATGAGAATGTCCTGTAAAGCTAATGTGATGTAAATTACAGCCGAAAATCTAAGTGATTCAGCTTGTAGCGGCGTCTCATCATTCAACCTAGAATATACAGTTTTTAGCCAAATTTCTTTTGTTTGAAGCACAGTGGATTATAAGCGATAATCCAAAGATATATTTATTAAAATGAAAAGCACTAATAATAAGGTCATATAAACTGTAAAGGAATATTTAAGATTTTTTTCAAGCTTGCCATTTTTTAATAATATTTTAGTTTAGTAGTTAGGTTTGGTGTGTCTAAAATAGAGGGCCTGAAAAATGCTTAACACATGGCTGACCTGCCATTCAAAGGAATACAATTAAAAAACAATGCACACTGATGTAATAAATGCTATTGTTTTCATAACTTGCCTTTTTTGGTTGCATTTGTGTGTAGATTTCCATTCTCCAATCTTCTTACTCCACATAGATGACAGGAATTAAGTTAGCCCACTTTGAACAAAATTTAAGGATTTGGATCAACATGAAATTCACAGCCCAGCCAAAAAATAAAAAAAAATCGCCACCAAAAGAAAACGTCACATGTTCTGTTTCATTGGACCGCCTTTTGCCTTTACTGTTGCATTGTTTCGATAAGCTTCTGCAATGTCACAAGGTTTATTTTGTTGCATTAATGTTTCACCAAGTTCTTGCACTGATGATGGTAGAGTCTGACCGCTGCACAAAGCCTTCTCCAGCACATCCCAAAGATTCTCAATGGGGTTAAGGTCTGGACTCTGTGGTGGCCGATCCATGTGTGAAAATGATGTCTCATGCTCCCTGAACAACTCTGTCACTATTGGAGCCTGATGAATCCTGGCATTGTCATCTTGGAATATGCCTGTGTCTTCAGGGAAGATGGAATAACCTGGTTATTCAGTATAGTCAGGTAGTCAGCTGACCTCATTCTTGAAGCATATCCTGTTGCTGAAACTGACCAACTGCAGCAACCCCAGATCATAACACTGCCCCCACAGGCTTGTACAGTACTCACTAGGCATGATGGGTGCATCGCTTCATCTGCCTCTCTTCTTACCCTTATGCACCATCACTCTGGAAATCTGTCCATCTGGACTCATCAGACCAGTTTCAATAATGTGTTTGACAATTCTCAACCCAATTTGAGTCATTTCTGCAATCTCCTTAGCATGCCAATGATCTGACCCTTCTCACACAGACTAACATCTTTTCCACAATGATGAGCTGTGTCTTTCACATGGTTGTTGAGAAGCAACTCATTGCATCAGTTGGGGTTAAATAACTTGTTGCCAGCTGAAAGATAATTGCCTATTCAGTAATTATCCAATAGGAGGCTCGTATTCATTTGTTTAGTTAAATCTAGGTGGTAACTTTTATTTTGGAAGGGCAGTGTAGATTTTGAATAATAAAATAAACATTGAATGTTGCAGAAAATGGTTAAATAGAATAGAATAGGTTTTTGATCCCACAGTGGGGAAATTCACCCGTTGAGGCGGCACATACACTTAGAGAATAGGAACACGATACAGGCAAACACCCAAAGGCAGCAGGCTATTATTGTGACCTTCAGCACTCAAGAAAATAATAAAAATAGAAATAGATACAACAGCACAAAAGATACAGATGTACACATATGCATCTGGGTATTT